AGATAGATAGATAGATAGATAGATAGATAGATAGATAGATAGACATATAGATAGATAGATAAACAGACAGACAGACAGACAGACAGACAGACAGACAGACAGACAGACAGACAGATAGATAGATAGATAGATAGATAGATAGATAGATAGATAGATAGATAGATAGATAGATAGATAGATAGACTCTCCATTACTTACCAGAATATAAAATTTAAGCAAAACATGAGTGAAGAGGAAACAGAAAGATGGATAGAAAGGATGTCACAGTTGAGAAATGAGACAATGAGGTGAAGCAATAGTATTAGAGAGCAGATCAATTCATTCCCCTTCAAACAACTTATTATTAATCAACAATTATTAAAACAGCTTCAATTTCATTTCAGCTAGATTGTTTCATTTTCTGAATATGAGAGGTTGCTGTGCAAAACTCAGGAGGAAGCTCAGTGTTGTTTCCATGACATCGAAACCACATATATCGATGGGGGATCTTCCTGGCCCAAGTCCAAGTTCTGAATCTTGGACACGTTTGACTTCATGGGAATGGTGCAAACTTTGGTGACTTTTGAGACTAAATGATGGTCTTAGAACAGAATCAGATATGGTATGAACCCTAATAAGTGAGGAACACCAGAGGGTTAATAGTTCAGCAAACCTCTAACCTTATGAGCTAAAAAAACCCCAAACAAACATGGAAAACCAATCAAAACGGAGCTCTGATTTCCACTCCGAGACATTGTGCGACTTGTCATCTCAGATAAAATGTGGTTCTGCTTATTGACTGTCTGCACTCCACAGGGAGCAAGAGAGCCGGAGAAAGAAGCTGTTATATCCCCCACTACAGCACTTCATTTACATTTTCATAGTTTCGTTCTCCTCTGTGAGAGGAAAACCATTCTGATCCTGGCATTTCTAAATTTATCGTCGTTTTCTGCACTCTGTTTGGATGTTTAGCTCAAAGATGTTATGACCGCACATCCCAACACTGCCGTACCGTCTCACTACACTCAAGTACGTACTTGTAAGTATGTAAATTGGGATGCAGGCACTTTCTCAAAGCCTGTGTTTCTACTTTTCTCTCGTTCCCAATGGAGTGGCCACAAGCCGAAACAATATAAGACACATGCACTTGACCATATTGACAAAACACTGGGCTCATTAAGTCTGTGAACTTCCAGAGCGGTGATGAATAACATTGAGACTAAACAGACTGGGCTCAACCCCCAGAGGAGAGAAAGCCCCCTCGCTCCAACAGGGGATAAAACGAGGGATGGAAAAGAGGACTGAGGGTAATAACGCAGTCGCCACACTGCAAGACCAGGCTGTCAATCATAGACAAACAGACAGGCTGAAATTACTCCACAATACACACCGCGCGGAGCGGCTCCTGAATCATCTGGGATTCAATGTTTTAGGGACCAGAGTATAATTCAAAAAACATATTATTTCATACAAGATATACGTTGAGATTCTCTAATCAATATTTTTTGCTTCGTTTGCTACTTTGATGTAATCCCTCATACTGTAGGTTAAGATTACCATAATGCTGTTTTAATAGAAGAATATACTCATAAACATGTGAATACAAGTATCGATGAATTAACTCTAACAAATTATGAATTCAAAAAGGGCCCCGGTCTTCCGGTTAGATTTTAGTGTATTTTGATAAAAGAAAGTTTGGGGGTCAACGATTTTTTTTAAATAAATTAATACTTTAAATCATCAATGATGCATTTCTCACTGTTTCCACTAAAATATTAAGCAGCACAACATTAATAATAAGAAGAAATGCATATTGAGCATCAAATCATCATATTAGAGTGATTTCTGAAGGATCATGTGACACTGAAGACTGGAGTAATGATGCTGAAAATCCAGCTTTGATCACAGGAATAAATTACATTTTAATATATATATGAAGAGTTCAGATGCAAAAGCCTCTAAATGCCATTTGACATTTTCTTCTTTAATGATGATTTTTATTAAACTTGTATATTTAAGTTCAGTAATTTCACTTAAATAACAATTAATAGGTAATTATCATTGCCATTTAAGTGAAATTACTGAACTTAAATATACAAGCTTGATAAAAATTATCATTCTAGAAGAAAATTTCAAATGGCACTTAGAGGCTTTTGCATCTGAACTCTTCATATATATATTACAATAGAAAATAGTTATCTAAATAGCAATATTATATCACAATATTACTTTTCTCTCTCTGTATTTCCAATGAAATAAATGCAGCCTTGGTGAGCAGAAGAGACTTTATAAAAAATAACTTGACCGATAGTGTAAATTGGTGCATATAAAATGAAATGAATACAATAGTTAAATATTAAAAAATAACTAGAATGTACATTTCCTAAAGAAAATGTGAGTGGTGCTTCTAGTGGCAAAACTGGTTAGCTAGTTTTTAGCAAAATGCTAACAAAACGTGCATGTTGCTAGCATGATGTTTGGCAAACTATTTTTTGTCATTTAGTGACAAAACAGTATGGAATTATTCATGTATTGTTTTAATCACTATATACTTTCGCATAAACATCACAATATATTGAGATATAGGCCTAATACTGAATATAATCAAAAGGATGGAAAATTGTTTATATTAGCCATATTACCCTTCACTTCATATTTATTCTCCAATGCTATAAGCGGTTAACTTGCCATTAACTGCCTAATGGGGCTTAAAAGAGCAGACTGTGCCTTTCCCAGGATAACCAGACCCTCTCTGTCCAGTGTCGGGCCTCTGATAGCCTCTGTCTCTGTAAGCATTTCCCGTAAGCCTATGCCTCTGTAAGCATTTATAAGAATCAAAGTGGTGGCTAGTGAAATCTATGCATCCTGTATGTACACACACACACACACACTGATCCGTGCACTGCAGACTCCTAAATGACTGTGGGTTTTCCATTACTTTGATGCACCTTCACACAATAAAGCAGCATCCAATCAGTAAGCATCCATGAATTCCTGAGAGGTCAATTCCCAAGTGCACAGATTTCTCAAAAGTGCTTCCTGAAACAAAGCCTTAAGTTGGTCAAAGCTCCTTGGCATCCCTGAGAGCAACCACTAATTTGTGGTCTACATTTGATCACCCATAATGCTTTGCAGGCTTAAAGCCATTCCAACCTCGCCTCTCCTAGATCCAGATGGCATTTTGGTAGAAAACAGAGCTGTAAACCTGAATATGTGTCTCCCGGGGAGAAGATCCTATATGTGACAGTGAGTGAAATTATGTTGTTTTTTTTTTTCTTTAAGCTTAAAGGGGACTCCTTTTTTTCTTTTTACATGTAATATTCCTGAGGTACAATTATCATTTAATTATATTTTGCACCAAAAACAGACTTAACATATTTTTTCTATGATACATTTTTTATCGTCACACTTTTAGAATTAAACACGCATTTCGTTCTTTTTTTTCTGATTTATAAACAATAAGAAACCTATGGAAGCTTGTTTTCCGCCACTGAATTAAAAAAAAAAATTATTACGACTTTTTATCTCAAAATTGCGAGATATTAAGTCGCAATTCTGAGAAATAAGGTGGCACTTCTGAGAAATAGTCACAATTGCCAGATATAACTGAGAAATAAAGTCGCAATTGCGAGATATAAAGTCACAATTCTGAGAAATAGTCACAATTGCAAGATATACCTGAGATATAAAGTCGCAATTGCAAGATAAAGTCGCAATTCTGAGAAAAAAAGTCGTAATTAAAAAATTGCGAGTTTACATCTCGCAATTCTGACTTTATAAGACATAATTGCGAGTTTATATCTCAAAATTCTGACATCTTTTCTCAGAATTGTGCAATTGCGAGTTATCAGGCTTTTCCCCCCCTCAGAATAGTTTATATCTCACAATTCTGACTTTATAACACGCAATTTTGACTTTACTACACGCAATTCTGACTTTATAACACGCAATTCTGACTTTATATACTTTGTATTTATATGAGAAATAAAGTCAGAATTGTGAATCTTTTTAATCTTTAACAAATCTTTTTTCATGTCATTTGGTTCATTCAACGAACAAAATGAACAAATAGGAAAAAGATTGCTTATAAAACTTAAACTTTGTTGTTGTTTTTTTAAATGAGCGATCGTTTCACTTGATAACTCTTATTTATCGTCTGGAATCGTTTAAAGCTCTTTGAACAGTTTGCACTGAAACTGTCTTTTGGACCTTGAACCGTTTGGTTCCCATTGAAGTCCATTATATGGAGAAAATCCTGGAATGTTTTCATCAAAAACCTTAATTTCTTTTCGACTGAAGAAAGAAAGACATGGACATCTTGGATGACATGGGGGTGAGTAAATTATCAGCAAAAGTTTTTTTAAAAAGTGAACCATTCCTTTAAGGAGCTGAAAAGTGGTGACCTTTGTGTTAAATCTGTAGCGATCTGGGGTGGCGCTCTGAAACCTGGATCAGCTGGAGCTTGAAAACGGCTTGTTTATTTTCAGCAGTGAAAGAGGGGAAGTGAAAGTAATACGCACACTTTTTGTTTTGACTTCATTGAACAGCAGATGGTTTCCGTGCTGTACCAACAATAATACGACAGCTCGAAACCTCTTTTTTCCAGTTATGTTGCTCTGGGCAAGAACCGGAGACATGAAAACAATAACTCCCAAACCACAAAGCAAATATGAACTCCTGTGAGTACGCTGGAACCTAGTGAGTAACTTACAATGAAAACAAATCTAATACTGTTATGGTTTAGATAGATAACACTTTACATTTACATTCTGTTGGGCAAAGAAATCAGTGTTAAGTGTTTAAGTGTTAATAAATCACACTGTGAAAATGAGATTCATAAGAAGTCACAGTGGCCAGTGATTACCCAATTTTACCAGCTAGTTTATTTTTATTTTTCTAATCAAAGTTCAGGGATCACTTTACGATGAACAAACTTAGCTATCTTTAAGTGGACCAAAAAGTGAACTAAATAAAATAAAAAATAATCATCATGTCTTTTTTGTGCACTTTATTTTATTCCTTGGATATAACAAAGTATATGATACCTTTAAAGGGATAGTTCACCCAAAAATGAAAATTCTTTCTTCTTTAGCTCACCCTCATGTCATTCCAAACCTGTTAAGACTTTTGTTCATCTTCAGAACATAAATGAAGATGTTTTAATGAAATCTGAGAGCTTTCTGTCCCTCCATTGACAGTCTACACATCTACCACTTAGACACTTCATAAAGGGATCGTAAAACAAATCCATATGAATCGAGCGATTTAGTCCTAATTTTAGTTAGCGTTTTGCTAACTTCTGCCATCCCTGATAGCACACGTACATCACAGAGAGACGTCTATTTGATGTGTGTGTTTACATCTGGAAGACGTATTTTTAGAGTGTTTGCTCATCTGCAATTTGTCTATAGGAAGTTTCCTGTCAGATGTCAAATAGACGTTTAGAAGATGTCTTTAAGATGTAATGATTCAGAGTGTATGTTAAACTGACATCTTAAAGATGTCTATCAGATTAGTAACCCAGATAGCGTCTATTTGATGTGATGTTTACATCTGGAAGACGTATTTTTTAGAGTGTTTGCTCATCCGCAATACGTCTATAGGACGTTTCTTGTCAGATGTCACATGGATGTTTAGAAGATGTCAGTTTAACATGCATTCTAATTCATTACATCTTAAAGACATCTTCTAAACGTCTATTTGGCATCTGACAGGAAACGTCCTATAGACGTATTGCAGATGAGCAAACACTCTTAAAAATACGTCTTCCAAATGTAAATATTACATCAAATAGACTTGTGCTATCTGGGAAGATTAGTAAACAGCAGATTCTTACCAGATGAAGTGATCTTTAACAGACATCTTGCAGACGTTTGTGTGCTATCAGGGATTTTGCTCATTTAAATTAGGCTACACGCCCTCGGAAGACACACGAGCCAACCCGATGTCCGCAAACCCCAACGCGCTAAATAATTGACATGACAGAGGGAGTTTCTGATTGGCTCCAGTCAAACAGCCGGGATTTCTCAGTCATGACTGGTAGTAGAGACATTTTATATGGGATGTTAAACATTAAATGCCTTGCAACACTTTTAATGTGATCCAGTTTGTGAATAACAAGACATCTCACCTGCATCCTCCGTCGGCGGATGATACCGGAGTCATCCATGGCATCGCTCATCGTGTCTGTCAAACTAAAACCCTTCACATCCAAGTCCACGTGGTGACAGACGCCCACAGCTGATGTTCAGAAGTTTTCCTCCGTTTGCATTTCCCCCCTCAGCTAGAGGAGATCATGGGCGTTGCAAAGCAATGCGCGAGACACATCAACAACAAACACACAGCTGATGGAAAGTAGACGTTAACTGTTAAAAAATAAACCGGGAAATCGTTTTATAATTGATTAAAACGCTGCGTTCTCGGGTCAAAGTGCCTGGTTTTTACAGTCAGAAACGAGTAGGCTGAAATTTTCATCTTGAGTGCTCCGTGTCTACACTTTTTCTGTCCGCGCGGGCACGACCGAGGCGCGTCCTTTCGGAGAGATCGAGGTGCTCTTTGGACATCTGGAGCACTAATGGACCACGGTCTGTCCCCCAGAGGATACAGCCATCAGATCATATTCGCTGGCTGGCAGCTGGATCAGTAATGGCATCATTTATGTGAAATGCATCCTTGCTCTGATTTTTTTGCCGTGAGCTTCTTTCTAAAACGAAATAGCAATCATTCCTTCCTGTGGCATACTGATGTGTTCACGTGAAATCTGCATTGGATACCGCCTCTGCTGATAGATCCAAATACACACGGTGTGTGTGGAGAATGCGCGTGTGTAATAATGAATCTTCTCTCACTCTCAAGGAGAAGCACAGGTTAACCCTTTGAGCTCCTCGTGAGCTGATGTTGGTGGCGCCCAGCAGAAGTCAGAATTGACACTTAATATATAATGTTTTTGTGTAATGTGTTAATTAAAATATCTTTATATATTGTGCTTAATTCCATCTTTGATAAATGCAATATATTTTATTATAATCTATTTGTATGTGTATGTGTGTATAACATATAACATGACCAGGCACAAGTGAAGTTATCATCGCTTATAACAATAATAATCAATGTGTTGGATGTAGGAAAAATGGGCTGCAATAAAGATCTGAGGGACTTTGACAAGGGCCAAATTGATAAGGCGAGGTGAATCTGAGTATCTCTGAAACAACAAACGCTGTCAAAAAATAAATAAGTTGTTGTGATACATTAATTTGAAGTTTATGACAATGAACTATCTATCTATCTATCTATCTATCTATCTATCTATCTATCTATCTATCTATCTATCTATCTATCTACATCTATACAGGTTCAGACTGTAAAAATGATGTCAATCCAGTTAGTTAATTTGCATGTGTTTCTTTTAACATTAAACGGCACACTTGCTCTCTCACATATTCTCTCACTTTCACACAAACACACACATTTAAATGCTGTAGGCAAACAGGATGCAATCAGCTGTACAAGAAAAGATGCACCCACGAGGAATCTGTAATCAAAAGCTCTGCTGCCGTAGAAACCATTACATGAGAGAAAGACAAACACCACAGGAAACTACATCAAATCATCCACAAACACTGAGAACCACGCCAGTAATCAGTTTATAATGCTTTTCACAAGATTTTATATCAGAGCCGCTGCTCTCTCTCTCTAGTTCTCATGAACTCACTCGGTTCTATGCTTCTCATTTGATGAGTTGCAAACCAAAAATGGGCCTCAGTGGAGGAAAAGCAATGCTAATGCTAATCATAAAATAATACTTAAGGGATGGCAGGCTTTTTAAAACAGAGGAGAAAATGCGATTACACAGATGGACGACAAGTTGTGTGATGCTTTTATCAAGACCATTGAGACAAACCCAGTCTTTATAAGAGGAAGAACAGCATGTGGAGTGTGCAGTTAAAGATACACTATGTAACTTTTTCAAAATTAACTAAATTTAAACAATGAGTCATAACATCATAAAAATCCTTCTTCCACAACGTGTTTGTCTTACCCTGCATAACTATAGTAAGCCTATTAAGTGTTTATATTTTTGACCTGATGGGATGGTTTTCACGGGAAATTGCGAACACGACGCTCGCCCACGTGTGTCTCGTCATATCCGTGAATAGAGAAAAGTTGTTTTATGTTTTATTAGTAGGATGATAACCATATTCAATTCATCCACACAGACACGCAAAGCCGAAGCACAACTAAAACAATGTTTTTCCACAAAATGCATGCAGTTTCTTTTTTAACCACTAGAGGGACATACAGAGTGTACCTTTAAAGCAAAATTATAATATATTATTATTATTATTATTATGTGTAAAGATACTGACTGGACACTTCAACATAAAAGCACACATGTTTACAGGTGAAAGAATTAACACTGACATCTGTTGGTAGACAGAGCAAATGATATTGCCTTTGGTCTCATTATATCCAAGGTGTTTCACGCTTTAAAAAACAAAACAAAATACAACAAAGCAAAAAAATTAACTTTTAAAGACAATTAAATGGGTAAAACGGTAGAACACTATTCCGAAGACGCCAAGTGCACTTTGAGAGTCATTAATGGATGAAATTTATTGTATGTTTATTTCTTCCTGAACTCATAGGCATAAATTAGCAGCTTATCAAATTGGAAAATCATCCTGATGACGTCACGAAATGCTGTGTCATGCGATGAATTGTTCTTGAAGTGAGTCGGCGGCACAATAATGCCTGAACGTATAATGTAGATCATTAGATATGTCACAGGTAAATTATAGCTTAATAATCAAAACATTTATGTGTTTTCTCCATTAAGGCTTCACTGTAAAAAAAAATATTTTCAAGATTTGTTATCACAACATATTTTCTTTTGTCAAATCAACTTTATAATAATTTATTTAGTTGAGATAACTTATTAAATTAATTTCCTTCATTGTATTAACTCACTTTTCCCAGTTCAATCAACTTAAATTTTTAAGGCAACCCAGGTTACTTACTTTTTTAAGTTAAACCAACAATATTTTTTTTACAGTGTAGTAATCACAACATTTTTTCTTTTGTCAAATCAACTCAAATAATTTATTTAGTCAGATAACATATAATTTTGAGTTTCTTCTCCTTCATTTAACTCACTTTTTCCAGTTCAATGAACTTAAAATTTTAAGGCAACCCAGGTTACTTACTTTTTAAAGTTAAACAAACAATATTTTTTTACAGTGTTCATAAAGAATGGAGTCAACATGAAACCTAAAAATAATGCATTGATGTATTGTAGATGTAGCTCAGTAATACTTAACATTCCCATCCTCATTTACTATAATCTAATTTTGTCATAATGCACAGCTAAGAGTGATGGAAAAAACAAAACAGCTATCCAATTATTTGAGAGAAGCGGGTCTCAGTACATCAAACCGCAAACAGGATTAAGGGTTTAATGGGACTGGTGTGTTTCCTGGGTCACCTGATTATTTACAGCAGACTGACATCACTTGTCCTTGGTCAGATCAATCCTTCATGTGCAACAAGACAATAGTGTAAGTCTTTACAATAAGGTTTACTCATGTGCACTAACGTTCAAAGGAGTAGTTCACTTTAAAAAAAAAACTTTTGCTGATAATTTACTCACCCCCATGCCATCCAAGATGTCCATGTCTTTCTTTCTTCAGTCGAAAAGAAATTAAGGTTTTTGATGAAAACATTCCAGGATTTTTCTCCATATAATGGACTTCAATGGGAACCAAACGTTTCAAGGTCCAAACGACACTTTCAGTGCAAACCGCAAACTGTTCAAAGGGCTTTAAACGATTCCAGACGATGAATAAGCGTCTTATCAAGCGAAACGATCGCTCATTTAATATATAAATAACAAAGTTTAAGTTTTATAAGCACAAATGCTCGCCTTGCTCTGTTCTGTGATGCACGTTCGAGACTCTCCTGTTCGAACTCGTTCATCAAAATGAACGAATCTTTTTCAGAGTCAATTCGTTCATTTCGTTCGTTGAATGAACCAAATGACATGAAAAACGAGTTGATTTGTTCATTTTGATGAAACTTTATTTATTTATTTTTTTAAATGAGCGATCGTTTTGCTTGATAAGACCCTTATTCATCGTCTGGAATTGTTTAACAGTTTAAACAGTTTGCACTAAAAATGTCTTTTGGACCGTGAACCGTTTGGTTACCATTGAAGTCCATTATATGGAGAAAAATGTTGGAATGTTTTCATCAAAAACCTTCATTTCTTTTCGACTGAAGAAAGAAAGACATGGACATCTTGGATGACATGGGGGTGAGTAAATTATCAGCAAAAGCTTTTTAAAAGTGAACTAGTGGTTTCCTATTCTTAGGCTAAATTAACTTTCGCACGAGAAGTACGTTTTCACCGTTCTGTAATGCCACCAGGAAAAATGTCCCTAAGATAAAATTTTGTCCTTGGGGGACCTATAACTTTCTTATAACGTCCCGGTGCGAAAGCCTCTTAATAGTGTTAGTGTGAGACTTCCCGTCGCTCAAATCCCTTCTCAGTATTACAGAGCCTCCCTTAAAAGAATTAAACTCGGACGTGTCTGACTGTGCTATCCCGGTTTAGCTGACCTCTGTTGGGCTATCTGTGTCACATCCCATTGACGCACACAGACTAATTTAGGGAAATGGGGCGTGTCATGAGGGCGGGGGTTATAAACGAAGGAACGGATGGACGTGTGTGTCAGTGGAGCCTGAAACTTGATTGATATTATACCTGTTGTCCTCAATTCAAGCCTGTGAAGCTATTCAACTTCGTTACCTTTAACTCTCCCGAAGGAAGAGCGATAGGCGAACTGACGGGAATCATGGAGTCTGTGACGCATTTACCTCGCGCAGAAGGATCCGTACCACGGAGAGCCTTAAAGGTCCCGGTTCGCGGGGCCTCCTCACATTTCGTGGGCTCCACCATTGTCATCCTCTCCTCTTACGCTGTAGCGACTCTGGCTATGAACTGTGGGAAAAAAATCCAGGATCAGCGAATGTGCACTTTGAAAAACTGAAGAACAGGAGCACTTCAGCTCTAATGGCTCACAATGGAATTGCCTTATAACTCTGTAGAGTCAGTTCATGTGTGTATGAGCTGATGTTAAGAGTGTCTGCTGGCCCTGTCTGTCAGTCCTGCTGGAGAAAAGCAACAACTAATAGAGATGATATTATCATTATGTTGTTTAAGTTTAAGCCCCGGGATAGCAGGAATGGATTCAGGATGGTATCCGAGGAAGCATCATTCCTGGGGATGGTCAGTGGGGAGAAGCAACAATGTTTCACTACAATTGCACAAAATTATTTTTTTTCTTATGTAACATTTAGAGAGATCCATAACTAAAGAATTTATTTGTGAAGTTAATGTTTGATTTGCAATTTAGAAAATAAAGACATTCAGCCTACTAATGTCATTGTTTTTTTGTCTGCCCCTGATACATCTTGACAGAGTAAAGTGTTATTTTAGTATTATTCATATTATAGCATTATATATAGATAGATAGATATAGATATATACATGTAATACTATTATTTAGTAATATTTTGAATTAGCTTTTATTTTTAATTTTAGTTTAAGTTTAAGTTTAATTTTGTTATGTGCTTTAGATTTCATTTTTTTAATATTCGGCCTTATTTTTTTACAGTTTTAGTGTTATAAGTACTTCAAATATACCCATTTATTTTGTTGGTTTCTTTAGTATTTATGTGTTATTATTTTATTGCAGCTTTGTTTCAATAAGGAAAACTAATTTATTAGTATTAGTTAACAACAACAACATTGATAAATAAATATTTAACTCATTAGTGATTGTGTGTTCAAAATGTGTAAAATATCTAATGCATAAGGTGCCATAATCTAATGCCTCACATTTTGCCCTCAATGAATAAAGTTAGAGAAAAGAGACAACCTGCATGTTTGATCTTACTTAACAGAGGTTTTAGAATAGAATAGAATAGAACAGAATAGAATAGAGTCAAGGTTTTCAGCCTGGGATTCACTAAAGGTATAATGGTATAAAAGAATTTCAACATTGACTAGAAGATGTCACCTGACTTGGCATAAATCAAAGATTAGATAAATCAGGTTAAGGTTGTTATTGGTCTAATTACACGAAGGTCCACGACCTAAGTAATGAACACACTGTTTTAATTGGATTAAGTGCTAACCTATAAAGACTAAAGTAGACTAGACTAAGGCAAGGAAGATTAAAATAGCATATGACCATATAGACAAAAGCAGATCTTCATCATCATAATCATCATCATGAAAATGTAAATGAATTAATAAAACAAATCCACATCCCCATTGTTACATATTTGTTTCCGTAGAGGAGTATTATTTTTTTTCACCAGCTAGAAATTCATTGACAAATCTCACATGTGCATGTCTAGCACTTAATTTTGAATATATTATGGTAATTTATTATGTTTTGTTTACCTTAGTATTAAATCTTTTCCATTTATGTTTATTGCATTTACTCTGTACTTATGTAGCCTACTAGGCCTATGTGTTATTCTAACAATAAAAGTAGGCTATATATTTGTAATGGTCTCAACAGCCTCATATTTGTATTATTATTTGTAGCCTATTGTATGCATTATTTGTATTATTATAGGTGTTTTTGTTCTAAAGTACATTGATTTATTTACATTTATCATCACACCATGGCTGCGACCCGAAATGTTAAAAATGCTGCCTTTGGAGAGCATCAAGGCACGTCCCAATCCAATGTTGGCTTCACTCTCTGTCTCCTGAAGATACCTTGAATGATCCTTCACTGCTTGATATCCCACAATCCTACAGGCTTCTTTCAGTTTCAGTCAGTGGAGCTAAAAATGAAATAAAAATGGCGTCTGAAAGCTGTGGTTGGTGGTCAATTTGTGTAAATGTAGATTTTTGATCAACATTTTCCACTTCTGATGTCATTAGCGACAAATAACGTGTAGTTATATTACATTTTGTCATTACAAGCGAAAAAAGTTTCGTGACTGGTAAACAAGGTTTTCCATAACTCCAGGCCGGCAGGTGGCAGTACGGCGTCTAATATGTGTTTTGTATGCCGCCCTACAGCCAAGCAAAGAGCAGGACGTTGAGAATCACTCCGGGAAAACAATACGAACCAAACAACAGCGTCCTGGACAATACGCTTTTTTACATGATGACAGTTGAGTGAATACTAGACGATTGTTATCGGCTCCTCTCAAGGACAGATTGATCTGTTTTTACGTGGATAGAGTCCCATCACCCGGAGCCGGTTACAGTAGTGTGTGCCAGTCACCTATGAGAAGTGACTGAAGTGAGTGTGTGTGGTGGTTCTGATTCTCAGGGATGTGTCATGGCATCGGTTCGGGTGGCAGTGCGGGTCCGGCCCATGAACAGACGGTGAGTGGGAGGCAAACACACTATAAACTAATAAACCTGCACATTAATGTCCGAGTAAATGTCGCGACAGCTGCGGAAATACATGACAGTAGTGAAGCACAAATATTAAACCCAACATTAGTTTGGTCAGGTGTATAAATTATGAGCATTAATAATATGAATATTTAAAAGAAATATTCCGTTTAATTATTTATTTCAATTTTATTATTATTGTTATGATTATTTTTGTTCATTGGGAAGTGTAGCTACATGACGCAGGCCAGATACGAACCTGACTGTCTCTGAGCGGATGGTTCCCCCCTGCGCCGTGACTCTGACCTCATCTGTGTACGTCATACTCACGTTCAGAGTCAGCATGTCCATAATGCTGTCTTACTAGGCTGAGAGGTGTGATTTGTCACTGGAGTGTAATTAAAAGAACCAAAAAGATGAAAAATGTTTCCGGAATAAAATTGCCCAATTATTTTAGAAGTTTTTTTTATTGTTGTTGTTTTGTTTATTTTTTGTTAATTATAGTGAGCTCAAATCGATTAATCGCATATAACATTAAATTTGGTGTATATATGTGTATGTGTATTGTATATGCACACACACACACACACATTTATATATTTTTTTGATAGATGCGATTAGACACGACTAATCGATTGACAGTACATTATAATAATATAATATACAAATACTATAGTAAATAAATTCTATATATAATATACAAATACTATAGTATGTAAATACTATATATATAATATACAAATAATATAATAATAAAAACTTTGTAAAGGTTTCAGAACAAAAAAAAGGCTAAATGGTCCTGAAAACAAATAGTCACACTTTTATTGTTTGCATTAAAAACTGAATTCGCGTTGTAAATGAATGAGAGGCTATTGGAAAATATATATCATATAAGAATTTAAAATGGTATTTTTATGCATTTTTCATTACAATAAATGTAAAAAAGAAAATTTTGAAGTTAAACTTTTTTTTCATTTCAGGAATGAATAATCTACACAGTAAACTGTTGCATAAATACAATTTGGTACTAAAATAAAAAAAATATTATTGAATTAAAATATAGTACAATCATTTAATTAAAACAAAATAAAAATCCGTGAACATACAAACACTAACTTCCAGAATTTTTTTTTTTTACACAGTGCAGATTTACACTGGCAATAATAAATTAATTGCATAAATATGTTTTATGTATTATTGATTTTTGGCCCAGGGAGAAAGACCTGTCTGCCAAATGCATCATCGAAATGGAAGGCAACAAGACCACCATCACCAACTTAAAAGTATGTTGTATTAAGTGACTCTAAATGATTGAGTTCCACAGAAAGCATCATTTTTATGCTTATTATTGTATTTTATATCAGATACCAGATGGAGTGACTGGAGACTCTGTAAGAGAGAGAGCAAAGACCTTCACATATGATTTCTCTTACGACTCGTCGGACAGTAAAAACGGCAGCTTTGTCTCACAGGAGAAGGTCAGTGGAAATATGAACTGTACAACTTTTGTCATTTGCAATCATCAGTTTGTTAATTAACCGTAGCAAAGATTGATATTTATGCATTTGGCCTGAAATTGCTTAAAGGGATAGTTCACTTTGAAATTAAATTTTGATATGTTTTAGCTTACCTCAAGCGCATCCAAGATGTAGGTGTCTTTGTTTCCGCAGTATTTTCAATTTTGATATTTTTAGGTCAAACCGTTCATGTCTGTCAGTCATATAATGGAGGTCTATGGTCACCACCTCAAAGAGCATGCACAGAGAAGTCCAAATTAAACATGATTTAATGACTCGTAAATGTAAGCACACATTGATGGCCTGAGACACGAAACGAGCGGTTTGTGTGAGAAAACGAACAGTATTTATATCGTTTTTACCTCTTGTAATCACAGTCACGTCCAAGTACTCTGAGGTGAGGGTTGAAACATATCAAAAATGTATTTCAAAGTGAACTATCCCTTTAAGCATAATTTAAAAACAAATAAATAAATAAATTAAAGAAACCATTTCAACCAAAAAACTGAATTTAAGAAGTAAAATAAGTTAAAGATCTAGTTAATCAATGCATGGTTTCCCACACTGTTTTCACTATATGAACTCAAGGAAAAACATAACCGCGTGTAAATTATTGATATAAATGTTTGATCTTTTAAAATTTCCCTGTCAGAGCATGAGCTGTACATTGCCCTCTTTTTTACTATTATCTTTTACTGACAATGCAATTGAAGAGAGTTGAATGAGAGTTGTCAAAACACAGTTTGAACTGATTGATATTGAATCAGAGACGTTTGAAAGCAGAATGAGTCGCTTTGTTTGGATGAAAGCATCTTCCAGGTGCATACATGTAAAGAAATCGCTCTTGAAGCTCTCTTCCTTGAAAGATCACAGAACTAGTTTAATTACATGACTTAATGGCGGTAACAAAAAAAAAAAAATGAATTCATCATTTATCAATTTATAATGATTTTTTTTATGAACTTATTTTCTCCATTATTAAATATTAGGAGCTAATCCTCTTAGCTTTTGTGCTCAGAGAGGTTTGTAACTCTGTGCTAAACAATCTTGGGTGTTGTGTTATACAGTAAAAACTATAATATTGGTATGCATGGCTGGTTTCCCAGATGCAGATTAAAACAAATCCTGATCTTCAAGGAATTGTAAATGCCCTGCTATTGTTAACAGTACACTTGAGAACATAGCTTGATTTTATAATTAGATTTGAGCTTTGCATTGTTGCATATATAATACTGTGATGTCACAGGCACAATATATGTGTGTTTTCAGGTGTTTAAGGATCTAGGCACCGACGTGTTGAAGGCAGCATTTGAAGGATACAACGCCTGCATCTTTGCTTATGGCCAGACTGGATCGGGGAAGTCGCACACCATGATGGGAATGCCTGTAAGCTTTAAGCTCTCTTCTTTTTAGGTTTTGTCATTTCAAACATGCGATTTCACACTCGACTGCTTGTAGAATGTCTAACATTGGCTCTGAATCATGCCGTAGGGTGACGTCGGGCTGATCCCACGGATCTGTGAAGGATTATTCAGCCGGATTTCAGGAATGACTCGGAGAGATGAAGCCTCTTTCCGTACGGAAGTCAGGTATGTTGAGTTATTTGTGAAAATCCTGCGCTGTGTGGTTGCTAAAACATGAGCCACTCTTACAGACACAGATTAAAGAGGTCCTATTATGCTTGATTTAGAGGTTTTCATGCAAAACACATTATTTTTCTCATGTTTGACGTTGTTGCAGCACCTCTCTTCCCAGTCTGTCAGTAACGCTCTTTTTAGTTCCTGTCTCTATGAAGCTCCTCCTTCTGAAAAGCACAATGTGCTCTGATTGGTCAGCTGGATCAGTGTGTTGTGATTGGTCAACCACTTCAAGCGTGTTTGGGAAATGTAACGCCCCTTATCCCAACTGCGATTTTTAGCACACTACTAACTTAACTACCTCAACCAAGTCCCTTAATGTGCGTATGCCTTGTGCAGGAATTATCGTGTTCGTTCCCGGACGAAAACTCAAGTCTACAATGGAGGCGTTTCAGGGAGTTCAGAAACAGTGCGCATTGACATAGGGAATAACTCCCTTTGGAATGACTTTATGCTTTGTAACTTCAGAGACCTTGTTCATGCTCGAACAGCAACATTACACACTAAAGAAAGTTGAAAATGTAAGAAAGCATAATAGGTCGTCTTTAGAGGTGAAGTGCACCATTAAGGGTTGCAAACAGAACTCATGCATTCATTGTTTTAGCCAGTGTTGCTCTGTCCACCCCGACTGACTCAAACAAACAGATTGCAATTCCATTTGGCGCTGCTAGGAGCACAGAAACGATACACTTCATGTTTACGTCTTTAAAGTATAGACCAGTTGCTGTTTGCGTACAGAAAACCTGTTCTTACTCTTACATTTTGGTTATGCTGGAAGCTATTTGGAGATTTACAACGAACGGGTGCGGGACTTGTTGAGGAGAAAGATGGCCAAGACGTATAACCTCAGAGTTAGAGAGCATCCTAAAGAGGGACCCTATGTAGAAGGTAAGACCAGGACTTCAAACCTTAACCACATCAATGCATAAATCATACATTTCAGTAGTCAATACAAATATTATTGTATTATAAGTTATTTTATTATAGTTTTTTCGATATTGCATACTGATTTCAGTGTCACAGCAAAAATAAATGTTAGATAACACTCAAAATTAATATAAATAACAGCCATGTAGTGTTTAATTAAAGGAAACATTGCTTGAAGTACAGTACTAGTTTAAGTAAATATTAAATGCATAATGAGTATAAATATTGCAATATAAATTGCATGTAAGTGAATTTTAAGAACATATTAAGTAAATATTAATTATTGAGAAAATATTGCAATGTATGTATTACATGAGAATATATTGTAATTTTGGAGAGAATTTTATGAAAATTAAGTAAATATTGCGGTATCATGTGATTGCGTGAATATTGCCATATTAAGTAAACACTGAGTAAACCTTGAGAGTCAATGTTGCAATAGTATGTAAATATTGAGTTAATCTTGCATTATTATGTAACCCGCATCAACTTTATCATCAAATTAAATGTTGCATTATCATGTAAATATTTCTTACATTTTTCAGTATTAAGTAAACGTTGAGTAAATATTTAAATATTATGTAAATATTGCATATTAAATAGTTAGAAAAATATTGCAAGATCATGTAAATATTGCATTATCATGTAAATATTATAATATTAAGTAAATATTGAGTAAATATTTAAATATGTAAATATTTCTTATTAAATAGTTAGAAAAATATTGCACTATCATGTAAATATTATGTAAATATTGCATTATCATGTAAATATTCCTTATTTTTTTATTAAGTAAACAGTGAATAAATATTATAATATTAAGTAAATATTGAGTAAATATTTAAATATGTAAATATTGCATATTAAATAGAAAAATATTGCAATATGTAAATATTGCATTATCATGTACATATTTCTTACATTTTTCAACAGTGGATAAATATTATAATATTAAGTAAATATTGAGTAAATATTTAAATATTATGTAAATATTGCATGTTAAGTAGTTAGAAAAATATTGAAATCATGTAAATATTATGTGAATATTGCATTATGATGTAAATATTTTATACTTTTTTCAGTATTAAGTAAACATTGAGTAAATATTATAATATTGAGTAAATATTGATGTAAATATTGCATATAAAATAGTTAGAAAAATATTGCAGTATCATGCAAATATTATGTAAATATTGCATTATCAAATAAATATTTATTACATTTTTCAGTATTAAGTAAACATGGAGTAAATAGTATAATATTAAGTAAATATTGAGTAAATATTTAAATATTATGTAAATATTGCATGTTAAGTAGTTAGAAAAATATTGTAATATCATGTAAATATAATGTGAATATTTTATAATTTTTTCTGTATTGAGTAAACATTGAGTAAATATTATTGAGTAAATATTTAAATATTATGTAAATATTGCATTATCATGTAAATGGTGAGTAAGTATTTACAACATTTTGCAATATCATATTACAATATTGCTGTTGAAGATGCATTGGAAGCTGTGTGTATTTGTAGTCCCCGTGAGTTGTGACTGCTCTTCCTCACTGGTTTCAGACCTGTCAAAGCACCTGGTGCAGAACTACAGCGATGTGGAGGAGCTGATGGAGGCGGGAAACATCAACCGCACCACAGCCAGCACCGGCATGAACGACACCAGTAGCCGCTCGCACGCCATCTTCACCATCAACTTCACACAGGTGACTGTAACGCGTCACGCATGGACACGTGTGTATGAATGCGCATTTGCATGAGCTGAAACGTCCAGCTAAAGAAACAAGATACTAGTAAATGCTATTAAAGCAGTAATATCATACATTTTGTCATTATTGCCTTCTTCTCAGGCTAAGTTTGATGCTGAGATGCCGAGTGAGACGGTCAGTAAGATTCATCTGGTGGATCTGGCAGGAAGCGAGAGGGCCGACGCCACCGGGGCCACTGGTGTCCGTCTCAAAGAGGGCGGCAACATCAACAAATCACTGGTCACTCTGGGAAACGTCATCTCCGCCTTGGGTGAGAGGAACTGTTGTGCCCTATCGCTCTTCTGGTGCAAATACCCCAAATGTAGTCTCTTTTGATCGGCTGCTTCTGTGTTTGTAGCTGATCTGTCTCAGGAAGGAGGGAACAGTCATTTGAAGAAGAAGCAGGTGTTTGTTCCTTACAGAGACTCGGTGCTCACATGGCTCCTGAAGGACAGTCTAGGAGGAAACTCAAAAACCATCATGATCGCTAGTGAGTGAGCAATCATTTGACACTCAATGTGCACTTCTAAATCTGAATGCATGAGTCATAATGCACTGCTGTTCAAAAGTTTGAGGTATATATATATATTAGGGCTGTCAAACGATTAATCGTGATTAATCGCATCCAAAATAAAAGTTTGTGTTTACATAATATATGTGGGTGCACTGTGTATAGTTATTTTGTATATATATAAATACACACACATGCATGTATATTTACAAAAAAAATGTTTAAATATTTAAAATATTAAAAAAAAAAATATGTATGATGCAATGATTAATCACGATTAATCGCATCCAAAATAAAAGTTTGTGTTTACATAATATGTGTGTGTGTCTAGTCTGTAGAACACACACGCATGTGTGAAAAAAATTATTTATAAATAAAATATTTACATTTACATTTAATATAAATTATATATAAATCAATATAAACTATACATTAAATATTTCTTAAATATATACAAGCATGTGTGTGTATTTTTATATATATGCAATATAATTACACACAGTGCACCCAGAAATATATGTAAACACAAACTTTTATTTTGGATGCGATTAATCATTTGACAGCCCTAATATATATATATATATATATATATATATATATATAATCATTACTACTTCAGAAATTATTATATTTGCTCAAGAAACATTTCTGATTATTATCAATGTTGAATAAACTGTTGTGATGCGTCACATTATGTGAAAATGAACATATTTGTGAAAATGTTTTTGTAACATTATAAATATCTTCACTATTACTATCTTTTGGTAAATTTAATGCATCCTAGGGGGAGAAAAATGATAAAATTCTTAAAAGAAATCTTACTGACACCAAACTTCTGAACCAAGCTTAAAAAAACAACGACATAAGAATACATTCAATGCATAATAACATGAATATAAAGAGTATTTCTAGGGCATATCCCTACTCTGAGATCTTACCATGTTTGCAAATATTTGTGTCCAGCGATATCGCCTGCGGACATCAACTACGGCGAGACGCTGAGCACTCTGCGCTATGCTAACCGTGCCAAAAACATCATCAACAAACCCACGATTAATGAAGATTCCAACGTTAGACTGATCCGGGAGCTGCGGGCGGAGATCGTTCGGCTGAAAGCGCTGCTCGTGCAGGGAGCTCAGGTCAGAACGTCAACTAGACTGGAACTGCCTCATAATCTTAATTTATTACCTCAGTATCAGTTTTAATAATTGTTTTCATTTGCTATTATATTGTGTCCTTTTCAGATAGCGCTGCTTGATTCCCCCACGGCGTTAAGTATGGAGGAGGAACTGCATCATAATGAAGCCAGGGTAACACACTTTCATAATCAAATGGCAACAGCCTCCGCAATCACAGCTGATGCTGCCGGACTGAAGAAGCGCTTTCTAAATGTACTCGTTATCATAAGCTCAAGTCCATTATATTGGCTAAACTTTCGCTTATACAGGGCTTGATGCTTTCTTTTTCCCAATTTGAACATTTTTTGGAGAGCATTAAGAACTTATGGGGTGCACTTAAAATGTATCAAATTATAGTTATTTCCTTAATAAATGGATAAGAGGAGATATTTACAAGCAACATTTAATTTAATTAATTTGAATAAAAACTAGGTTTTATAGTCTTATATATATATATATATATTAGTGCTGTCAAACGATTAAAATATTTAATCGCGATTAATCGCATTAATGTCATAGTTAACTTGCGATTAATCGCACATTTTTATCTATTCTAAATGTCTTTTGATTTCTTTTTGTTACATTATTTTTTTCTCATTTTAATGCTCTTATCAACATGGAAAAGTGGATCGGCTTGTTTAGTGCAAATATTTTTTTTAAAATTATTATTATTGAAAATAACGTTGGAATAGTGCTCAATTTCACACTAACATATATAAATAATCTCTCACACAATGTGTAACACTGTCTATCAATAAAAGGGTGAAAGAAATACTGACGAGGTCCTGATATTGACGAGGGGGTGGAGAATTCGCATCATCTGTGTGTGTGTGTTTGCTTGGCCATCATCAAGCGGTGTTTCAGACTGGACGTGCTGCGATGATGATCGCTCAGTTCACAACAACAAAACACACAGATCACTTGGTCTTGTCAATGGGACAATTTGGCAACTTTTTAAAAGTAAACTTTCCATTCAGAATCTTCTAAGGGCATCCATTTCGGCGTCTCGCACCCGTCGTCCACTCAAAACGTAACGTTACTATCTGGCGTGTGTGTGCGGCACAAAACGTCCTCGCGCTGCGCTCTGAAACACATTAATTTCAATGGCTTGCGCCGCGCGAGGGCGTTTTGTTGCTTCTTCGACCAAAGCACAAGCGGATCTAGACCGTAAACAAAACAACAGGCACGCCGCAAACACACGTTTCGGCTTGCGAGCCGGCTTTGAGTGGATGACGAGCGCGAGACGCCAAAATGGACCAGGACGCATGCCGCGTCCTGTTGCAAAAGCATGTGAGAAAACTACAAAGTTTGCGAGGACAAAGAGACTGTTAATCGCGCGATAAAAAAATTAACGGCGTTAAAATGGGTTTGCGTCAACGCCGTTAATAACGCGTCAAACTGACAGCCCTAATATATATATATATATATATATAGGCTTTGGCAGGATATGAAACACAAACCGTCTTGAGCATGTTTTCTGGCGCAGGTGTTGGAGCTGACCAAGGAATGGACGAACAAGTGGAATGAAACCCAGAACATCCTCAAGGTTTGTCGCAGTGATCACACAGCTGTCACACCAGCGTCGATGTTTGTCACCAGCGCAGTGTTTTTGGTGTGTGTGTGTTGAACAGGAAGAAACTCTTGCTCTGAGGAAGGAGGGAATCGGAGTGATCCTGGACTCCGAGCTTCCTCATCTTATCGGGATTGATGATGATCTTCTCAGCACCGGCATCATTCTCTATCACTTAAAGGTAATGAACATTAGAGTGTGTGCGGTCACTGCCTCTAAACGTATTCATCCGCCTGTAGTTCACAGTAGAGTGTGTATTGAGTGAATGTGATTGGCTTGTGTCTGTTTGCAGGAGGGAAGGACGTACGTTGGCCGTGATGATGCCACTAACGAACCGGACATCAGTGAGTTTGCGGTCTCGTGTGTTTTCATTGACTGAACTCTTTCTCTCTCTCCTTCAGTTTCCATTTAAACATCCTATGCGTCATATCATGTCATTGAGATTTCGTTAAATTTCATGTGAATTCCAGCCTTAAATATCCTTAGTATCGAAAGTATAATTCTGCATCCTTCAATTGAACTTCACACTGAATTGAAATGCAATTTTTGATTGGCACAACCCTGTTATTATCATTCTTAAAGCCTCTCTCTCTCTCTCTGTGTGTGTGTGTGCAGTTCTTCATGGTCTGGGTCTGGAGAGTGAGCACTGTCTGATAGAGAATCGGAACGGGACGGTCACTCTCATTCCTCTGAATGACGCTCAGTGTTCGGTCAATGGAGTTCAGATCACTGAGAACTGTCAGCTCAACCAAGGTCACATATATAATATAACCCTTTCTCACATTGCAAACTACAATCTGATCAAATCAGGATTCTCATTGTCTAAGACAAGACATCACAAGTGAAAATTCAAACCAATAGACATCACTATATCCACCTTATTCCTGCGTCCCATGACGCTTTGCGCGAATTTTTGGTGTAACATCCGTTAAGCTGTAAACAATCAGTGAAAGGCTCGCTCTATGAACGCGATACGTTAAAAAAGAGTCACAATGAGATGACATTAATATACTCGCCCTTCAACCATCGAACATTAAAATGAAATTTAAACGTTTAAAAGAATCAACAGACCAAAATAGCTCCAAAAGCGTGAGTCTTTGGTTAAATATCACTATATATTTAAGAAAATTAATTAATATTAAATATATATAAATATATATTATATATTTAAGAAAAATGTGTAATTAATATATCAAATATTTATATATAATATTAAATATGTATAAATATGTATAAAGTATGTACATGCAAATATTTCTTAAATATATACATTCATGTGTGTGTAATTATTTATACAAATTAATTATGCACACCACACACGCATATATTATGTAAACACAAACTTTTATTTTGGATGCGATTAATCGCGACTAATCGTTGCCCATCCCTAGGGCAAATATATATCTGTATAACAAGCTTTAATCAAAGATGTTCATTAATGTCAGCGTTACGTGACTCTATTTCAAAGTGATTTTTTGGCATTTTGACAGATTATAAATTGCATTTACCTGTGAAGACTTGGAAAGGGACGTGAGGATTTGAGGAGAATAATAAGAGATTCTTCGTGCATTCCAGTGAATTATTAATGGAATATCGTGAATTAAATTCGGGAGAACACGCCACAAATGTGCCGTATATGCTGTCCTTTTACATACTTTTACAGCGGATTGCAAAGGAAAAAAGAAAAATCATCATGAGGAAAAGAAATCAGCGACTGAAAAGAGCTCTTTCCATAGATATTCTTGTTCTAACATGTCACGTTAAAATACCAAGTGTAATGTTATTCTTATATTGTAGGTATATTAGGATATCAGAGAAAAGATAATAGGTATTAAGGTATTAATATTAGGAAAGATAATTGGTATATTATCTTTGTTTTTGTGTCAAGGACCCCCTCAAAAACGTTTCATCTCAAGGGGTTATCCTCAACAATAAATTCAATTCAAATTCAATTCTCATAATGTCTGAAAATAAATCATGAAAACTGTCAAACTGACGGATCATTATGATTTGAAATGATTCGTTTCAGCCTTTTTGAATGGAAGTGCTGCCCATAATTCAAAACACAGTAAGGAATAAGGTGGATAGTCCCTCCCTGCATAATTCAGAACAGAATTCTGAACATTGGATAAAGCTATGCTCAAATTTCGTGTTTAATTTCGGTGGCAGATTAAAGTTACTTTAGATCGCTTCAGAAAATCAGAAAATACTGTCAACAAGCCAGAAAAAATAAACATTTGCACCATGTTTTTAGGAATAAAATTCAATATAAATCGGGCGAATTATACATGTACAATCCCCTCTGAAATAACCTTCTGAATAAAAATAGGAATAGGTTTAAGTTTAGAAAAAAAGCCACATGTATTGTAATTGAATCCAATAGTTGTTATAAAATAAACTCTTAAGTGTGTGTTTTTTTTTTTGGCCACTAATCTGAAAGAGTGCAAGCTGTAGTTTTCCTTAAACAACACTTTAATAAGTGCATTTGTGTTTCTCAGGTGCTGTCATTCTCCTTGGCAGAACCAATATGTTCAGATTTAATCATCCTAAAGAGGCAGCTAAACTGCGAGAGAAGAGAAAGGTGAGAGAAGTTCACACATGAACCTTCAGCATTAGACACACATTTGTTGAAGGTTTCGATAGTCTTTTTTTCCCCTATTGAGACCAAGCGTGCTGCACAAGCCCTCAAAATGAAGCCAAAACGTCTCGATCGCCCCCCTGTGACCGGTCCTAGTATAGCTCATAAATCCCGCCTCCCCATGTTATTCAATGGGACGCGAGACCAACTAAACAATTAAATTACACTTCACATATCCTTTTTCCAAAGATAGTTTCTGTCATTTACTGTAGTTTCTATCACGTTGATGTAATTTCAAGTGTTCGTTTTTAAAATAAGTTTGTTTTTAGTTAGTTATGTGATGATAAAAACGGTGCTCTGACATCATGATTGACAGGTTCTCTGTGCGAGGTAGTCACTGAAGCACCAGCGGACTTTTTTTCACAATGTTGATTATGTGGTCAGTAGTTGTATTTACCTTATTTTAACGAGGTTCTGCAATCAGCGGGCACCATTGGAGAAGAATCAAGCAGACAGAGGACACTTAATGAAAGTGCGGGCCGTGTGCTTGCGTTTGATTCAGCGCGAAGGAGGGCGCGGCCTTGATTTCGCGGCTTTACTTCCTGCTCACGACTGGTCCCGAAACACGCAAGTGCGCAGACTCAGGTCCCAAGATGTCAGCGTCATATCGAGACACTGGCGGCTACAGTGAGCGGCTAAAGAGCGAAGGGGCGTCGTCCATCTTTTTTTACAGTCTATGATTGAAACGTATGTCTAAGTGAAGGGCGGGGCTTGATTTAGTCCATGGGGTGTTGATTGGATGGTTGTGGTTTGCTATTGGTGGATCTCACACTCTTAGAAGAAAAGATTCTAAATAGAACCTTCAAAGGTTCTATCAGCGCTACGTATTTGGAACCCCTAAAAGGTTCTATACACTCTTAAAAAAAGGTTTCCTCTGGGTTCTATATAGAACCCTGGGGTTCCATCGTAGGCCAATAGAACCTTTTACCAAAAAAAAAAAAAGGTCCTATATAGAACCATTTTGGAGTTCCATATATGAAGCGGGGGATGGAACCATTTCTGGTTCTAAATAGAACCATTTCTTCTAAGAGTGCATGTGTGTGACAGCTGACCCCGCCCTCACGCCAGTAAACGCATCATCAGAGAAGAAAAGAGATGATCTGCAAGAGGTAGAGGAAGTTATTTAGATTAAAGATTATGAGGCACATGAATAAAAAAAATCATATAAATATATTTCCATAAAATAATTAATAATTGTCCATTTTGATTCCATGGTGACTTTAATGCTCTTCCTGTTCTCCAGAGCGGCCTCCTAACCAGTCTGAGCTTATCCATGTCTGACCTGTCCAAATCCTGTGAAAACCTCTCCACAGTCATGCTGTATAACCCTGGGTAAGCCATCGCCTGTGTGTGTGTTAGAGCGAGTGGTAGCTTCCTCTTCCTCAGCCCTCCTCCCTCTTTTCCTTCCCAGGAGCCTCCTCTTCCCTCCTCTCTCCATCCTCCACTCTCTTCATGCCCTCCGGCGCCATTGCTGGTACTGCTGATGCCCAGCGCATTAAAACGGCTGTCAAAAAACACTAATTCAAACCCTGCTTGGCAGATCGCAAGAGACCCTTCCCCAAAAACAGACAATAGGGATGCACGATATATCAGTGACCATATTGGTATTTACCAATGGAGGATAATGCGCATATTTAGAAATCTTCAAAAAATTATGATGAATTGGACAAGTACACAATAATAATCACCAACAACCAATAACATTTCAGTTGTGAATTTATTTATCATTTTTTTTATTATACCTTCACCTTCATAACCATGACATGTGTCTTATATGAAGGAGGGTTTATGACAACTGTCATTAAGTGTCTTTCGCTCAATAATGCAAATATGACATTGTTTAAGATGTCATGTGGTTGGCTTTGACATTGAGGCCATTATAACTGTGTCATGAATATTTTTTAAAAATTAAAAATTACAATTCAAACAATGCTTTTTTTTCTAGTGTGCCATGTTTTTAAAGTACTAAACACATATGCGTCAATTTTGCTCTACTTAATTTAATAGTTTTATGCCTGATTTCAAGCATAGGTTTAGGTTGGACAGGACTAGTGTGATACCTGTTTACAATAATAAAAACCACCATAGATTTATCGACCATAAACTTTTTGTATATATATATATCGATGCATCCCTAATAAACAACAAAATGCATGTTGTCTTTTTGCATTGTCAGATTAAGGCGAGACATTGCAGGTGAATAGGAGAAAAATTTTGACTTACAGATGTCACCATGAAACTTTACCAGTTGATTACTCGCATAAATAGGAGAGAAAAAAAATGTATTGTAAGTTTTCTGTAATTTTATATTTAAATATGCACTAATTTGCATATATTTTGAAGTGACGAATCTGACCATTGAAAAAAAAAAAAAACAAGGTTCAAAATTATGTTTGTGTTTTGTTGATATATTCGATGAAAAGACATTTTTTAGAGGGGATCATGAATATGTACATCAGAAAATACTGCCAATAGCTTTAAAAAATAGATTTCCGCCCTATTTTTAGGCATAAAATGTCATATAAATCAGGCCAAGAATGATATATCAACAAATCCCTCTGAACAAACCTTCACAATATAGTTAGGAATACGGCTGTAAAGCTTGGTGTGTGTAGGTGCTACAGAAGTGGAAAATCGTCACTAGAAGTGTGAGGAAAAAACTCATTTCGAGTTAAATGGCCCATTGTACTTTCATGATTGGTTGCTGATAAACAGGAAATGACCATATTTGGATCCGACAGCATTGAAGAGGAGAGAGAGAGCTTTCTAGCGGTGTGTGCGATCACGGACGGAGCAGCGGGATGATTTACCGTAGAATGCCAACTTTTGACGAATTTAGGCGAAATCTACACACGCAAACAGACAAAGTGTAGTCAAATAAAGACCTAAATGTGTTTTTTGGACTTTTTTCAAGCACAATTCTGAAAGACGACATGTTATTACCCCAAAACCTCAAAATTGACCATGTTTTTGCCTGCCGTGTCTCGCCTTAATAGAAGAATGCACAGTAGAAATCAGTTTTATCATGGTTTTGATCTGCGATCATCACACATGATGATTGGCCTGTAACAGTTTTGATATCATGACGGATCATGAATCTGGGCGATGACCTGCTAATACAGCAACTTCATGTCATGAATGAACGCCAACCACTCCATTTTTACACAACTAAGTGTTTATTTTATTTTTTTATTCATTAAAATGAGTTTAGAGCATTTGTTCTTTTGAGTTGTCTTTAAAATCTTATAGCTGGGATTTGTGCGGCAGTATTTGGTAACACTTCCTCTCTCTGAACTTCTTCATGGCAGTCTCTTCACTGAAAAGGGTCCCATCTTTCTCAGGTAGAACCAAAGCACAACTAGTGTTCTTGTGTTAACTGTCGTGTCATATATATCTCATCAGTGTGTCTCTGCATTTCTCGTTCATCATGCTTGTGAGGAGCACATCATCGTCTTCATAATACTTCAGTTGAACGTGTGTCTCCATCTCTGTGTATTCTGCAGCATGTGCTTATAGTTGCAGCGCATGCAATTTGACTGATGGATGTTCATAATAATGCAGACCCTCATCCCATGCGTTCGTGTGTGTGTGTGTGTGTGTGTGTTCTAAGGGTGGAAACTAATTATGTCTTAAATGTTCCAGACTGGAGTTTGAAAGGCAGCAAAGAGAAGAACTGGAAAAACTGGAAACTAAAAGGTGTGTCCTGTGACTTATCAAATATTAATATATGCAAAACACTTCAGTGAGACATAATTTACATAATAATTTACATAAAGCAGTCCTGCCCACTAATTTACAGTTCATTTAGCATGCTATCCAAATTAACTTATGCAAAAACACAAAATTGTCAACAATAATGTTTTTGTTATCATTAGTTTACTACAGTAGTTAGCTCGAACTAACAAAAAGCAATACTTCTACGGCATTTATTAATCTTAGTTAATGTTAATATCTGCATTTAGTGTATATACGTATATATATATATATATAGATATATAGTTTTTATATATGAAGAGTTCAGATGCAAAAGCCTCTAAATGCCATTTGAAATTTTCTTCTTTAATGATGATTTTTATCAAACTTGTATATTTAAGTTCAGTAATTTCACTTAAATAACAATTAAGAGGTAATTATCATTGCCATTTAAGTGAAATTACTGAACTTAAATATACAAGTTTGATACAAATCATCATTAAAGAAGAAAATTTCAAATGGCATTTAGAGGCTTTTGCATCTGAACTCTTCATATATATATATATATATATAGTTTTATATATATATATATAGTTTTATATATAGTTGTATATAGTTAAAATCAAACTTTTTACCTGATAACATTAGTTAACTGTACTGTGAACTAACATGAACAAATTGTATTTTTATAAAAGTCCCCCTGTTTTGTAAATCATTTAAAATTTTAAATGGTGTTTTTAATATGCTTTAAGACAAACCATGTGCAAATTCACACGTCGACACCATTAAGTATTTTCTCCTCAAAACTGCAGTGAATTAAAGACAGTCTTTAATCTCTAGTCTTTAGTCTTTAAAGACAGTCTCAAAAACATAAATCGTGTTTCTGACGTCACACACTACCTTGTAACCAATCAGATCAACGTGTGGTCGTCAACGACTGGATCCCTGAGCTGGAGTGAGTGAGTGGAGGCGGGGCTCATTTGCATATTCCTAGAACCGCGTATACTAAATGAGGCAAGGGTGTCGAGTTACATTCAAGCTATTTAAAGGGAAAAAAAAAACGTTTAAATATATCATTTTGGTGAAAAATATGTGAACAAATGAGAAAGTGTTTCCAAATGACCAAATCGAGCTGCATCGATATATCTACAGTGATAGTGGAATCTCATGGTACATACTACAAATTCTAACAAAAATCATGCAAAATACAGTTTTATGGATATGTGATATATATGTATGGTACGTTTTCAGTTTCACCCACTACTGGCTAACTTTGGCCCTGGCCAATCACCATCCTTCCCTTTGTGTTTGTTTGTCCAGGCGGCTGATAAAAGAGATGGAGGAGAAGCAGAAGTGTGAGAAGGCGGAGCTTGAGCGCATGCAGCAGGAGGTGGCGTCTCAGAGGAAGGAGTCCGAGCAGGTGCAGCTGCGCATACGCAGACAGGAGGAGAGTCTGCGCAGACGCAGTCAGGACATCGAGAGCCGCCTCAGGGACTTGATCGCTGAGAAAGAGCGATTTCAGGTCAGACTGCTGTTTAGGTTGTCAATTTTAATAACAAGACAGTAATATTGTAATTCTTCTGTTCGTCCTGCTGATAAAATCACAATCATTTCTCCACATAAACGCATTCATTTGTACTTGGGTAAGTTGTTGCCTAGCCATTTCCACACTCAGACAAGAGTTTAAATGGAAACGATGCTTTCTTATAAACCGTCTTTTGAATGTTGAGGCAGACTAATGTCTGTTTTGTTCAGGAGGAGAGACACCGAGAGCAGAAGGAGCAGGAACAGCAGAAGCAGAGGAGATTACAACCGAAGCAGAAGCTGGAGGAGAAGGAGGTGCAGGAGGACGATCTGGAGGAGGAGGAGGAGGACAAGACTCAGGCCCAGCGAGAGCAAGCAGAACAAACCGAGCTCTTCCGTGAGCTGGAGCGGCTCAAACGAGAGCGGGAGGAGCAGGCCGTCAAACTTCAGCTAGAACGCAGGTGAAGAAGAAAAACACTTTTATCCGTTAGTTAAAAATTAATGAATTAATATTAAAAATAAATGATTTACATTTTTAAATAATTAAAAACAAAACTACTACTACTAATAATAATGATAATATTTGATTTTAAATATTATTTTAAAATTATTTTTTTTATTTAATTATTTAATATATTATAATAATTAAATAATAATAATATTATTAGTTTTAGTTTTGTTTTTAATTATTTCAAAATGTAAATCATTTATTTTTAATATTATTTTATTCATTTTTAACTTTACAAAAATAAAACTAATAATAATAATATAAGTAGTATAATTTATTTAATTTAATTATTATGATATATTGAATAATTAATTTAATAATAGTAATTTTAAAATAATTGTATTTAATGATATACACACACACCAATAAAACTTTTATATTTACTTTTACATAACACTACATTTAAATATATATATATATATAAATGTAGTGTTATGTAAAAGTAAATTTAACTAATAAAACTATTATAAGCATAATCATATTATTTTAATGTGTATATACACAGTAATATTAGTATCTCATAATATTACTGGTATAAATTATTCAATTAAATGAAGTTTTTTATAAAAATATTAATTATGTGCGTGTTATTTAATTATTTGTCGTTACTTTTATTTCTCAAAGTTATAATCATTGTAAAGTTATATTGGAAATGTTATATTATAAATCGCGACTAATTTCATCCAAAATAAAAGTTTGTGTTTATATAACATATGTGTGTGTACTGTGTATAATTATTTTGTATATATAAATACACACACATGCATGTATATATTTAAGAAAAATTTGCATGTTAATACATAATCAATATTATATATAAATATTTGATGCATTAATAACTCATTGCATGTGTGTTCTACACACTACACACATTATGTAAACACAAACTTATTTTGGATGCGATTAATCGCGATTAATCATTTTATCATACATTTAATAATGTATTTAAATATATATAAATATATGGAGTGCCTACGTTTGAAAGTGTGTCGGACTGAATGTCTTCCAGGCGTCTGGAGGAGCGTGAGAAGGAGCAGCTGAGTCTGGTGGGGCGTCTGGAGGAGCAGCTGAGGGAGCGCAGCGAGGAGGCGTCCGTCCTGCTCACTCCTGATGAAGCTCGGCGACTGGAGGAGGAGAGGCGCACGCTCACCGAGCTCAAGGAGGAGCTGCTCCGAGCGAAGGAGGCGCGCATCGATGGAGAGGAGGAGGAGAGCGGGGAGGAGGCCCGCAGGAGCGCGCAGGCAGCCTACCAACATTTCAAGCAGACGCAGGTGGAGGAGCTGGCTTTGCTGGAGGAGTCGCTGATCCAGCAGGAGGACCGACTGGAACGGGAGGTGGCCAATGAGCGCACGTCTCTCGGCCTCTTGCTGCACGCGCACAAGGACAAACAGAGACAGGTAGAGCTGTCCGTATTTCTAAAGCTCACTAAAAACAGATGAGATCAGGCCTGTTATTTGAGGTCGTTTTTAATTGTTTATCATCTAGAGTGTTGTCTTTAAAGGGTTAGTTCACACAAAAATATAATTCTGTCATTAATTACTAACCCGTAAGACTTTCGATCATCTTTGGAACACGAATCAAGATATTTCCGATGAAATCCACCCATAAGCAGCAACATCATTGCAACTTTCAAAGCCCAGAAAGTTATTAAAGGGATACTTCACTTCTGGAAAGATGAATGTGTAATTGTGTATATAAAATGGGTCATCTGTGTAGAAGAAATGTGAAATTATTTTAGAATTTGGAGCTTTCTTGACTGAGAAAAGCCAGAAAATGTATATTGGGCTTATGTGGATGAAAGACAACAACTCCCAGAATGCACTTGCTTCGCTGCCCTAGGAGGCCACGCCTACACGACTCATATGTGTGAGTCATAATAAATAGTTCGATTAGACGAGTTACCTGTTTAAATCAGTCAGAATCTGGCGATTCGCTGCCGAATCTGTGTTTTAATCCTGTCCTCGTCTTTGCAGGTCCGTGACGTGACGGAGCGTGGCATTCAGGACGTGTCGTCTCTGGGTCAGGAGGAGGCTCTGATCCAGCAGGCCGAACACAGGTTGCAGTTTAAAGAGAGACAGCTCCTATTTCTCCGTGAGAAACAGCTCCCCGCTGTCTCCGAGGAGCGCCAGAGAGCCAGCGAGCTCCTGGAGAGAGCGAGAGGGGGAACAGGCTCTCCTGGTTTGGACAGAAGTTCAGAAGAAATGGACAAAGAACTGGATGAGACTCTGTATCAGGTAACACTCTCAAAACTCGGGTCCGTCAGAGGGTGTCACCCATGCTGTAATTTGGAAGAGATGTTACACTCAGATCAGTTCATGACTCAAATTTATGTCTACACTATCAATGCTGAAATCCATCTGCAGCAGTCAGGTGGTACAGGTTGTTTATTCATTATTATTGTAATGTTATTTGCTTTGAGACATGAGGTAGTTTAACGCCGTCTCTCGTGGCGCTTTTGCTCTGGCTGTGTGTTCATGTTCATATTTTGAAGGAGGCGGGGCTTTGGAGGCGCTCTGAAGTGAGGGTGGGATCGCATGCTTTCAAAGCTAACTCGCTAATTGCCTTCTCCGAAAGTTGCCTACCCTAGCTTTAAAGGGTAACTAAACCCCTGGTCAGAGCCTGACTCCACCCACTGGCAATATTTGAAAATGCTGAAAAAGTGGGCATACCCCAGCGGAGATAGAGGGGACGAAATAGATGCTAAAACACTCTATCCTGATCGTTTTCAATACTCACAATTCCAATTCCTGACTCCCTACTGTGGTTTTGACGACACAAGTTGGTTTACTGCGTAGGGCGTGGTGAGCTGAAACCTGCGTACGTCACGAAGTGCGGAACATCCAATAGGAAAATTCAACTGCAGTAGCCACCGTTCAACCTGAAGAGGGCAGCACTAAGACGCTTTTACACCATATATTGTAGAAATAAAACGCTTTATACACAAAGGTCAAAAAAGTTACTCGAATCAATGACTGGTATTAATAAAGATCCATTCTTACAGATCACTTAATCTAACTAAAAAAGTTGGTTTAGTGTTTAGTTACTCTTTAAACTTTTATGAAATTTTGAAATGTTGTCTTGGTTGAAGTTGAAGTACTGAAATGAATAAAACTGAAATATAAAAAGAAACATTAAAAACCTGATAAAAGTAACAAAAGCACGAAATTACTAAAAACTAAAAATATTTACTGAAAATATAAAAAAGAAAAGCTAATTCAAAATATTAAATACTATAATAGTATATAAATGATACAAACATAACACTAATGGCAGAATCGGCTGTTTTCAAAACGGTCTAGCTCGTCCTTGATTTTTGTCCTGTTTTTCCAACAAGTAATGGTTTAGTCAGTGTGTCAAAACGCAACTTATTATTTCAATATTATTTCCTTTATTGTAGCCAGAAGAATCATATTGAGATATTACTATCTCTTCTTCCAGTGAGACCTGCAGCACACAAAAATAACAAAATAACAATACAAAATTTGACACAATTAAGAACAAAATAGATAGACGCGAATCAAAGAATTACAAGTATAGAGAAGTTTAAAAGTGGTCAGGGTTGGAAGTGCATCTAAATTAAGTACGTTTTGCAATTCATTCCACACCGCATAAAAAGAAAAAACACTTAAAAAAAGCTTCACCGAATCATTTGAGTCATCATTCTAGTTTTCCTACAAATCCCAGCATGGCATTTGAGCGAACTCCTCTTGAACAGACATGAATGGTAACACCTCAAATCATGCAGGTGGTTTAGAAGGGTTCTACATTGAGCAGACATGTAATTGTCATCTGGCTATAGATAAAATGAGAGTTACAATTCCTGTTGACTTGCAATATCTGGATACCAGAATATCAGAGACTGGTTTAACTTATTTAAACCCAAAATCTCAAAAACAGTCCTTTATCTTCCTCAGGTTGAGAAGGAGCTGGAGGAGAAGGAGGAGCGCTTGTCTCAGTACAGCGCGAGCGCAGAGCAGTTGCAGCAGCTGCAGCAGTCGTACGAGTTCACCGCAAACGTGGCCCGACAGGAGGAGAAGGTTCGCAGGAAGGAGAAGGAGATCCTGGAGTGGAGGGAGAAACAGCAGCGGGAGGCTCTGGAGCAGGCGGTCGCGCGTCTGGAGCGGAAACACTCGGCCTATCGCAGGAGCCTCAGCCTGGAGTCGGACCCTGAAGGGCCCCGCAAGAGGTCACAGTCCGCGCTGAGCACTTCCAGGTCTACAGGAACACAAGACCTGGAACAGGACAGGTGTGAGCTTTGTTTTTTTAGGAGCACACTAGCACTGGGGTTTTCCTTTTTAAAACTTTGTGATGCGAAGGACCCTCTAATACGATGATCCTCTTGTGGGAACCTGTTCATAAATATAAAGGTAGCTGAGCTGTATATTTTTAGGTATAAAAATCAATTTATAGAAGAAGAAAAAGTTTAGAAAGAAGTACATAAATATGAACCTCCCATTAGCATCTATTTTTTATTTTTTTTTGGAAAATACCATGTATATATATATATATATATATATATATACATGGTATTTTCCAAAAAAAAATAAAAAATAGCTTTTACATAGTAAACTAAAAAAAAATATTATCTGGAAAATATTTACTTTTTATTTAATTGACAAGTGCTTCTGAAATTGGCACTTACATTTTTTTCCCAAAAAGAAAATATTTAGAATACTGAAAAAATAAAAGTAATATAATAATAATAATTAATGTCTAAATAGTTAATAAATGAATGAATTTCCGACTGGTCTTTAGAAAGCAGGATGTCACGCTAAGCTGAACATAATTTTGCTTAGCATATAATATTTAATTAAGATTTTAAGTGCAGACATGAACTATAACAGCCTCAAAAAATGTACTCAATAAATAAAATCAAATTTATTCTTGCAGCCCCCAGGTGTCTCTAGCAATGAATGTGATGAATCCAGAGCTTGTCCTTCTGATTTTATTGTGGATGTTTCTCAGGATGGAGCGAGAGATTGCCCAGCTGAAGCAGAGGATCAGTGAGAGTGAAGGAAGTGTGCGGAGTCTAAGCGTGAGCGGGGAGGAAAAGAACAATGTGAGCCAGTCGCCCGTCAGCCCCATGCAGACCCTCCCCAGCGTGCTCTCTGTAGGAGACGAGAGGTGCGCACACTGCTTAGTGCTCTCCAACACGCTGGACAGTTTTACAGCTCGCTTGTGATTTGGCCAAGATATGCAATAGCACCTCATTCCAGTACATGAGATCCAGGGGGCGGAGTTGGATCCAGATCTAAGGGTCGAGATGGGTAGGATTAGGGGTGGAGTTAGGGATCAGGGGCGGAGATGGGTAGGATTAGGGGTGGAGTTAGGGATCAAGGGGCGGAGATGGGTAGGATTAGGGGTGGGGTTAGGGATCAGGGGGCGGAGATGGGTAGGATTAGGGGTGGAGTTAGGGATCAGGGGGCGGAGATGGGTAGGATTAGGGGTGGGGTTAGGGATCAAGGGGCGGAGATGGGTAGGATTAGGGGTGGGGTTAGGGATCAGGGGGCGGAGATGGGTAGGATTAGGGGTGGGGTTAGGGATCAGGGGGTGGAGATGGGTAGGATTAGGGGTGGGGTTAGGGATCAGGGGGTGGAGATGGGTAGGATTAGGGGGGGGTTAGGGATCAGGGGGCGGAGATGGGTAGGATTAGGGGTGGGGTTAGGGATCAGGGGGCGGAGATGGGTAGGATTAGGGGTGGGGTTAGGGATCAGGGGGGGAGATGGGTAGGATTAGGGGTGGGGTTAGGGATCAGGGGGCGGAGATGGGTAGGATTAGGGGTGGGGTTAGGGATCAGGGGGTGGAGATGGGTAGGATTGGGGTGGGGTTAGGGATCAGGGGGGGAGATGGGTAGGATTAGGGGTGGGTTAGGGATCAGGGTGTGGAGATGGGTAGGATTAGGGGTGGGGTTAGGGATCAGGGTGTGGAGATGGGTAGGATTAGGGGTGGGGTTAGGGATCAGGGGGCGGAGATGGGTAGGATTAGGGGTGGGGTTAGGGATCAGGGGTGGAGATGGGTAGGATTAGGGGTGGGGTTAGGGATCAGGGGGTGGAGATGGGTAGGATTAGGGGTGGGGTTAGGGATCAGGGGGCGGAGATGGGTAGGATTAGGGTGGGGTTAGGGATCAGGGGGTGGAGATGGGTAGGATTAGGGGTGGGGTTAGAGATCAGGGGGTGGAGATGGGTAGGATTAGGGGTGGGGTTAGAGATCAGGGGCGGAGATGTGTAGGATTGGGTGGGGTTAGAGATCAGGGGCGGAGATGTGTAGGATTGGGTGGGGTTAGGGATCAGGGGGGAGATGGGTAGGTTTGGGGTGGGGTTAGGGATCAGGGGGCAGAGATGGGTAGGATTAGGGGTGGGGTTAGGGATCAGGGGCGGAGATGGGTAGGATTAGGGGTGGGGTTAGGGATCAGGGGGTGGAGATGGGTAGGATTAGGGGTGGGGTTAGAGATCAGGGGCGGAGATGTGTAGGATTGGGTGGGGTTAGAGATCAGGGGCGGAGATGTGTAGGATTGGGTGGGGTTAGGGATCAGGGGGGGGGATGGGTAGGGTTTGGGGTGGGGTTAGGGATCAGGGTGCAGAGATGGGTAGGATTAGGGGTGGGGTTAGGGATCAGGGTGTGGAGATGGGTAGGATTAGGGGTGGGGTTAGGGATCAGGGTGTGGAGATGGGTAGGATTAGGGGTGGGTTTAGGGATCAGGGTGTGGAGATGTGTAGGATTGGGTGGGGTTAGAGATCAGGGGCGGAGATGTGTAGGATTGGGTGGGGTTAGAGATCAGGGGCGGAGATGTGTAGGATTGGGTGGGGTTAGAGATCAGGGGCGGAGATGTGTAGGATTGGGTGGGGTTAGGGATCAGGGGGGGATGGGTAGGATTGGGTGGGGTTAGGGATCAGGGTGCAGAGATGTGTAGGATTGGGTGGGGTTAGGGATCAGGGGGTGGAGATGGGTAGGATTAGGGGTGGGGTTAGAGATCAGGGTGCGGAGATGTGTAGGATTGGGTGGGGTTAGGGATCAGGGGGTGGAGATGGGATGGAGATCTGGATCCAACTCCTCCCCCTGGATTTCGTGTTCTGCATTGAGGAACATCTCAAGTAATGACTGGACTGTTCCTTTAATGACTCTTTTCTCCTTCAGGTTAAACGCGTATATTGAAGAAGAGGTCCAGCGGAGGCTGCAGAAACTGAACCTGCTGAACAGAGAGAACAACAACACACTCTCGCTGTCCTCAGACTCACTGCAGGTATATGACTACAGCTCCCACAGTCACTCACTTTAACTGCAACCGCTATAGTCTGGAGACTAGGAATTAAGTGAGAAACCACCAGAAAGTTTTGCAGTCAACATTCGTCCCGTCGTCTTTTTTTTTGTGTGTGACCCTGTTACCCCAATGAGCATTTCTTGTCTTGTGGTCACACTTTAATTTTTCAATTTCTGTTTGTATTGCATCAGTTTCATGGGCATTTAATCATTTTTGACTTTTCATTGTGTTATATCTCTTTTTTTCTTGAAAAAATAGGGGTTTTTTTTCACTTCCAGCCCTCGTTAACAATTATATATCAATGTTAACGATGATTAAATACAAAAATAATAGTAGTTATTAAGTTAGATGTGCTTCGAAATTTGGTAAACTGTGCTTGAAAAAAAAAAAGATTGGTTTAGCGAATCGCCTAATAATTATGCACGCACTAATATATATGTGTGTATACTACACAGTGCCTTAAGTATTTGTACACCTAATATGTTGATGCCTTATGTTAAACTACTTTAAATAACTTTACTTTTTTACCTCATCAGTCCATAAACCATAATGACAACAGATTTGTGACAACTTATTAAAAGGGAAAAACAATCAAATTAGCCAAAGTTTTTAACATTTTATCCACAGAGATTTCTGTGGGAAAACAGTTGAATGTCTCCCTAGTCATTCACAAAAGACATTGTTTTTGGCACCAACACAGTTGTTTAACTCTACAGGAGGAGGAGCTGGATAGTGACGGTAGCTCTGTTAGATTGACGGATGAGGTAAGCACAGGCCTCAGCCAATCAGCACCAGCTGAGTGGACCGTGATTTGCATGATCCAGCCTTAATAATTTGCATTTTGCTCCCAATCTCTGATGTCGGTAGATTGGGTCTTTCCTCTGCGGTTTTCCACTTTGGGAGCATGCAGCCTGCCCACTCATTTCTTGTGTAGATGCAATGCTTACTTTTGCTATCTCACTGTTCCTAAACATGTTCCTAGATCAACATATTTCCTGGTCCATAACTTATTAGGTGAATAACACTGATAAACTCGACATTAACTGTAGACCTATCCCTCAAATCTGATTGGTTGATTGGAATCTTGATCCAGGATCAACAAAGATGTTGATCTAAGAACATGCTCTACTATTATTATGGAAATTTTGGGATATTGCATAAAAACACTGGATGGAAATGCCAAGATGCGCATGCAATCTAAAAATGGGCATAAAAACGTACGTGCTCAATTGAGTCAGATAAAAAATAATTATCCGATAAGAACTAAACTACGATGAAATCACTTTAAAATAAATAAATACATTTTATCCTTTGATGCACAAACAAAAAACTAATCTGACTTTGCCTCAACAGAGGATGTGATTGGATAACTGGACAGATCTCAGATGCTGGTTTGTTCGATCTGAAACCCCTGAGCCAAAGTCTGTCGTCAGAATGATTCAGTTTAATTGCGATATTCCATGTTAAATTTGCAACATTGGCTGGATACATAGCTATTCGTACTTGCTTGACCCCTGAAATCACCTCTGTTGAGTCGTGTGTGTAATTTTGTGACCCTAATAAACTCAAATTTCAATCTCTCAGGACAACGATAAAAAACGCTTGGATCCACGCAAACTGAAATATGAGGTATGATCTTACTGTATGTGTTTAGGGAATGATATTTCATCAGCATGTTTTCTGACCGCCGCTGGCCGTCTCTCCACAGCGACTGGTGTCGATTCCCCTGGATCCGAGTCCAGAGAATCTCAAAGATCCCGTGAAGATCAGTATCCCACGTCACGTCCTGTGCGGACAAGGCAAGGACGAGCACTACGAGTTTGAAGTCAAGGTTTGTCTGCGTTTTATACGGTCCCGGTCAGTGCGTTATCTATGAGAATTGTGGAATTGACCATCCGGCGACCTCCGCTGAGTAAAAAAATCTCTACATGAAAATCTTTGATGACTTGGTGTTTTGGGTCTGTGTTCAGATCACTGTTTTGGATGAAACGTGGACGGTGTTTAGAAGATACAGTCGTTTTCGGGAGATGCACAAGTCTCTGAAGCTGAAATATCCAGAGGTACGAGCATGACGCTAGCGGGTTTGATTCTCAGAGAGTGCACGTACTGATGAAATACAAACCCGGAATCTGGGCTTGACATTAACACCTGTAACGCAGGTTGGCGGGTTGAATTTGATATATAATACATACATTTTTCAATGAAGAACTATGAAAGATCCTTTTAAAGGGATAGTTCACTTTGAAATAAAGTTTTGATATGTTTTAGCTTACCTCAAGGGCATCCAAGATGTAGGTGTCTTTGTTTCCGCAGTAGTTTCAATTTTTATATTTTTAGGTCAAACTGTTCATGTCTATCAGTCATATAATGGAGGTCTATGGTCACCACCTCAAAGAGCATGCACAGAGAAGTCCAAATTAAACATGATTTAATGACTCGTAAATGTAAGTACACATTGATGGCCTAAGACACGAAACGAGCGGTTTGTGTGAGAAAACGAACAGTATTTATGTAGTTTTTACCTCTTGTTAACATAGCCACATCCAAGTGATCTGAGGCTGCGGGCGCTTTGTGGCTGTGTTAACAAGAAAAATGCAGTGAAAATGCGGAGTGGCTAATAAGTTTAGACTTCGACACTAACCAAAAATGTCACTGTCTAGCCCTGTCTGGAATACATCATAAGTTGCTTTGGATAAATGCATAAACATAAAAGATTAAATTCTAGTATGTATCTTATTATTTGAATAAATGTATTTTCGACCCAAAATCATTTAATATTATGCTTAAAGAAAAGCACATTTTTAAGACCATAGTATACATGTATTTATATTTATCTATGCATTATTTTCATGCATTAAGCTTAATGCATTACAATAAGTTGTTATGGATAAATGCAAAAGATTAAATAGATTTTTGGATCAAATTTATTCTTCTAACCTGTCAATTTTTTTTTTCAATTTAAAATCATTATTTTAAATATTTATATATATTTTTTTAAAAATAACATAAAAATACTTGAATATTTTGCTCAAACAAAATATAAAGAAATATATATAAAAAAAATAATTCCCACTTGATTTTATTTAAATATGCGGTATTTTCATGAGATTCACCCAACTATGCCATATTAGATATATTTTAATTGGTGAATGTCTTCTTGTAGCTCGCGGCTTTGGCCTTCCCTCCCAAAAAGATTTTTGGAAACAGGGACGAAAGAATGATTGCGGAGCGCCGGAGCCAGTTGGAGGTAATCGGACGTTTTTACTGTCATTCACATTTAAATGATAAGGTGTTTTTCTAATCTAATCTAAGATGCCTTTGTGTTTTCCCAGCAATACCTGCGCAACTTCTTCCATGTGATGATGACATCATCATCCGCCTCCCCTCTGAGAACGGACGAGTGTGGATTACAACTCTCCAAACACGCCGTGTGCGACATCTCTCCTTTCTTTAAGAAGGGAGTATTCGACTACAGCAGTCACGGGACGGGCTGACACACACACACACACCAATAAACACACACACACACACTAATTTATTTGCACTTTATGCAGCTCTCTGATACACACACACACATTAATACAAACTGATTCACTCACAAACCAAGACATTTTACCCTAAAATCAAAGGGAAAAAAATAAGAAATTATATTCTCCATTTAAAACTTTATTTGCATGACAATTAAGCACGTTTTAATTAACCTTCTAATTACACTGAGGGTTTTTTGTTGTTAGTTATCCTACTGTCTGTTTGTTAGTCACGTTAAAAATTACTAAAATATTTTTTATTATTAAAAAAAAACACCACCAATCCTACCATACTTTATATATATATATTTTCTTCATATTGTCATGCAAATAATATCATAATGGAAACAATGCTAATAATAAAAAAACGCTTTTTTTCCCCTTTTTTTGGGGAAATATGATCTGGATTCACTCGTATATTCTCGTGAACACACTCAGGAAAGTTGGAAATCAGGTGGAAAAGATTGAAAGGATTCCAAAGTAGATGTAAATAGTTTTGTTAGTGCCTTGTCGGCTGTAATCGAGCTTTAAAATGCATCAAAGAAAATGAAATATGTTAACATGACAACCGATGGTCACCATTAACATGATTCGTACATCTTGTGTTTACATCGAGGACCATGAAGCCTTTTTCTGTGGACAAACAGGACGTCCTGTAGCTGCTACTTGGGTTTGTGATTCACTTGTGATTGATGTTTAAGTTGCTGGATATAATGAATCGCCACTACTTTACTTTGTTGAAACTGCCATTGATGAGAACGGAGGCCTCTGATTGGCTCCAATCCATATATACTCATTATCATCCATTATAGTCATGCTAACATTTAGCAGATATGTGTTTTGGGGTCAAAGCTCACAAAATGCCACATGTACTGAGAGCCAACGTCTTCCAGAACCTTAGATTGGAAACGATTGTCCTTCTCACTGCCCTAGACGCAGTTAAAGGGCTTTTAATGTAGAATATGCTGTATGAATTTGGAGAAAGAAGATATGAAGCCATATGTATATTGTACACTTGATCTGTACAGAGGAGCTTGTTCTCGTGATGTTTGAAGGAAAGGGATAGTACTGCTATATTAGCCGTTAGGATTTTCTTGAGCTAGTTTAAAAGAGTGCAAGATGTATACATTTTTAAAACACTATTTTCATTTGCTTTTTTATTCCTGAAACTGAATGTAATCATTTGTGAGTAACATGATTTGGTAACTCAGTTTTAGAGAGTAAGGCAAACTGTTTAGCACGATATTCATGGTTTATTTATGTTGGAGTACGAGCTTTTGCAAAAAATCCAGTTTGTTGATGCAACATTTCAGTGTAATCATGTTCATATAAGTAAAGCAGATCCTTCAAAGTCGATTTGAGGGATAAAACTTGACTCCTAGGACTTGTCATTGGTTCTCTGGTGGTCGGCCTGAAGTTTGTCGATTTTGGATAAATCCGCGAACGAGACATTCGCCGTACCCCGTTTTGCTGGTTTCGCCTGTAAATTCATCGGAAAGATGGCAAAATCAGAATCTGACTACGGTTCCATTTTTGGAGGAATGTGATTGGCTGTTTGTTCCATTCTGACCAATGAAAATGCAACAGACCTGAGAATCATGAGGCTTCCAGCCAATCATGTAGAGGATCTGAAACGTGGCCGGAACTGAGCCGTCTTCACTGCCGTACATCTCTAAAAGAAATGACGTTAATAGAATTACACAATATCTACCTTTTTGAATCCATTGGCAGAGGTGCTATAATGACAAAACTGCTAATTTTTTATTCTTTTTTTCCACAGTATCTAGGAGTGGCATATAATATAACTAAATAACATAATTATGGAATTTTTTTCATAGTTTAAACTTTTTATTACTCATGAAATCTACATTACTTCCTGGTTAAACATCAATTTTCTACCCGATAAAATGTTATGGCTTGACTAAATTATATTCATTATACATTTCTTAAAACTTTTTCAGATCTATAAATCACATTTTTGAAAAATTTCCCCATAGGTTGTCCAAAATCATGAGAATTACAAGATTACGTCTTACATCCCAAACTTACATCCCAAACTTAACTTAACTTAAATTGAACGCAGGGTTGGAGTATCATATATCATTTACGAAAAAATCAGTTTCAATACCATGTGTTCAAGAGAACAAAACCGTCACTTCCGTGGAAAATAAATTGGTCGGAAAATATCTGTAATAAAGAGTCCGCCTCAAATGAGTGCATATGTTTTTGATGTGCATTTATGCAAAATGTTCAGCGTATTTATGCGATATCCCAAACCTTAAACATAACTACAGTTACATTGGAGTTAATCCTGCAGTTCACGGTTTGCGGCCTCACCTTTATAAATGGCAGCCGCCGCCAGTATAGTGTCTCTGTGCAGCAGTGACTTCCTGTTCCACGCACAGTTGCTCTCGCCCATACCTGAAGTGGAGGAATAAACGTTAAACGCATTCTCCTTCAATTTCTACAACAAATCACCAAATTTATAAGACGCAGAGTTTACCTTGTAAATCACTCATGACCTCCAGCATACCAGGGTAATGGACTTGAACTTCATCAATGTCCTGGATTACAACACAATAATGAGCCTCAATAGGGTGCCGAAGTTATGACGTCACTTTGTAGGCCAAAACGCGGACGTGAGTTAGCATTTTAGCACTCCCGGTTCCCTCGCTCTAAAGTCTATGGGATTTTTGAATGGGTTTTTTGCTAAATCGCCTGAAGGTGAACAAAGCCTCTAAATATTTTCACGTTTTTATCTATGACATAGATCACACAGAATAACCTGCTTGTGTTTTTTTAAACTTTATATAGGCTTCAAAATGTATACATTTTGGATTAACTTGTAAAGATTATCTTGACAAGACAAAACGTGTAAGGGTCTTCAACTCTTTATTGAACACAGATCTTATTTTTTGCTATTTTCCAAAAGTCCATGGGGAAAATGCATAGCTTTTCGACCGAGGGTGACGTCATAACTTCGGCACTCTATATAATCACTCATAATTCAAATCAAACAGATCCCTTAAAGGGATAGTTCACTTTGAAATAACTTTTTGGTATGTTTTAGCTTACCTCAAGGGCATCCAATATGCAGTAGTTTCAATTTTGATATTTTTAGGTCAAACCGTTTGTGTCTATCAGTCATATAATGGAGGTCTATGGTCACCACCTCACCACCTGTGAAAGTACACATTGATGGCCTAAGACACGAAACGAGCGGTTTGTGTGAGAAAACGAACAGTATTTATATCTTTTTTACCTCTTGTAACCACAAATCAAAAATGTTATAAAAGTTCTTTGGTGTTTTTCATATATGTGGCTGTGGTTACAAGAGGTAAAACGATATAAATACTGTTCGTTTTCTCACACAAGCCGCTCGTTTCGTGTCTTAGGCCATCAACGTGTACTTACATTTACGAGTCATTAAATCATGTTTAATCTAGACTTCTCTGTGCATGCTCTTTGAGGTGGTGACCATAGACCTCCATTATATGACTGATAGACACAAACGGTTTGACCTAAAAATATCAAAATTGAAAATACTGCATATTGGATGCCCTTGAGGTAAGCTAAAACATACCAAAAATTTATTTTAAAGTGAACTATCCTTTTAAAATGCAATGACTGCCATAAAGCACTCTGGATTAAGCACAGTAGTGGCCAAAAGTGATGTCCCGAGGGGATATTTATTTTTAACGACCATACAATTTGATTAAACCATCAAAATATGATTTTTAAATATGAGGGATGAATAAAACCTAAAACATGGTTCTGACAAAGTACTAGCTTGACTCAAAAATAAAACGACTACACAACACGCTTACAAAAACATTTGAATAAATGAGATGTCGGACCTCAATTTTGGCCACTACTGTTGCTGAATCTTTGCATAGAGATATTTGAGTACGCGTACCACAGTGAGCATGTTGAATCGGGCCTGTCCCAGCAGGTTGCCCAGGTCAGTGACGGCTGTGTATGGGGAGATATGGGGCGCAAACCCGCCCTCCCTCTCCAGCTCGGCTAACTGCAGGGAACACCGCAGCTCGTAGAGCGTCTCACCGCCAACCATCGCTCCAATGAACACGCCGTCCGGCTTCAACACATGGTGGATCTGAACAAAAAGAGGGAATTTCGGTTTATTTAGTACTCGCGCACCACAGGAACGCAACGCACACATGCCTAGATCCTCGTACCTGTCTCAAAGCTCCAGGAAGGTCGTTGACCCAGTGCAGACTGAGGAGACGAAAATGGGTTTATGAATGAGTGTTCATCTTTAAATTTCCCATCATGCACTGGGGTGGTACAGTACCTCAGGCTGCTGAGCACTAGGTCAAATGTGTTTTCTTGAAAGGGCAGGAACTCCTCGTCTGCCACAACACAGTGAGTAGGAATCTCACATTCCCTCCTGTTCCTCTGAAAAACAAGCAGGAGAAAGAAGGTTCAAGTAAATGTATGAGGTCTGAAAGTTAAATAAGTTGAATGTTTTCATTCTACTGCATTTATTTGATAAAAAAAAAAACGGTAATATTGTGAAATATTATTACTATTTAAAAAGAACTGTTAAGAAATCTTTATCCGAGTGATTTTGTTCGTTGAATGAACCAAGTGACTAGAAAAAAGATTCGTTCATTTTGATGAACGAGTTCGAACAGGAGAGTCACGATTCACGAACGCGCATCACAGAACAGAGCAAGGCGAGCATTTGAGCTTATAAAACTTAAACTTTTTTATTTATTTTTGAAATGACCGCTTGTTTCGCTTGATAAGACCCTTGTTCATCGTCTGGAATTGTTTAAAGCCCTTTGAACAGTTTGCACTGAAACTGTCTTTTGGACCTTGAACCGTTTGGACCCCATTGAAGTCCATTATATGAAGAAAAATCTTGGAATGTTTTCATCAAAAACCTTAATCTCTTTTCGACTGAAAAATGAAAGACGTGGACATCTTGGATGACATGGAGGTGAGTAAATTATCAGCAAATTTTTTTTAAAGTGAACTACTCCTTTAAGTAACACTATATGTCTTTATCACATCAGTGAAATAAAGATGTGTGCAATCTCTTACCAGGGAAGAGTCTGAGACGTCTGTTAAGAAGAGACGTTCAACAACCTCCTAAGAAGAGAGAGAATAATTTACACAGAAAGGAATAATTGACTTGCCTTCATGTTGTTCCAAAACCTGTGTGACTTTCTTTTCCAGAACACAAAAGGAGATGTTCATTCTGCTCATTTCCATGCAATAAAAATACATAGTGATGAGGGAATGTCAAGCTTCTAGTGTCTCAAAACCAATATAGCACACTCGACAGCCCTAGTCTCAATTCACTTTCATTATATTTCTGTCATGACAACTCTCTGAGTGTTTGGGATGGTAATGGACATGATCGTGTTGATATATTTGGTCTTGGCAAAATAGCTCTGCTATGCTGTTGCTGTAAAATATAGCAGACATGAATTACCCATAGCAAATCTATACATCCATTCACTGTAACATTAGGAACAGTTCTACCTTACTCAAATGCTCTGCGATGTGACTCTTCCCACATCCTACATCCAAAGCCAGAGGGAACGTCCTGCGATGACATTTAGGGGATCAAAAACGTACATTTTGTTGTTTCCTCACCCTCATGTTATTCAAATCCCACATGACTACATTTTTTTTCTGATTAAAAAAGAATTATTGGACATTGCTGTTTCAAAGAAAGTGGATGGGGACTGGATTTCTTGAGCTCCCATAATGCAATAAAAAATGTTACAGAGCACAAAAGTCATATGGAGCACTTTCATGGTGCTTTTTTTGGAGGTCAACAACCCCAGTCCCCATTCACTGCTCAACATCTCCTTTCTATCCCACGAAACAGAATAAAGTCAAACGGGTCTTGAACGACACTTAATTTTTTGGCTGAACTATTCCTTTAAGTTTCTTTATTCTGTTAGGAAAAAAAGAACAGAAGAAGATATTTTGAAGAATGTTGGTTGATGGGACCCATTGACTTGATCAATGATGACCATCAACTGTTTGGTTACTTCGAAATGTGTGTTCAGCAGAGGTTTGGGACAACATGAGGGTGACTAAATGATTACAGACTTTTAATTTTTGGGAGAACTGTCCATTTATCATGCGTTTAATATGTGGAGAGTGACCTTGAGATGTCATAAACTCTATCTGCCACTCTGCTCGCCACCTGCAAACACAATCCATGAGAGCAGAAGTTCACACACACAGTTTGACTTCTCGTAGAAACAAACATAAGTATCAGAAATGCATCTATCTCACCTCGTCTCGAAGGTAATCGTATTTGTCGTTGTCCAGTAAAGATGAAGCCCATTCCTTCTGCTTGCGCTTCATGTTCCTGTCAAACACGTTCATCGCGCCTCCCTGCATGGAGGAGAAACACCGCCATCCTCTCGACACACATCGGAGGATTTTCACACTCGTATTCATGATTCCTAATTCATTCTCTTTTCAACACCATTTTCAGACACATTTCATAAAAAGTCACACACGTTTCATGTGTGTGCCTCTAAAAACAAAGCTCAGCCTCTCGTCACACAACAGGGAAATATGAGGTAAAGTGTGGAATGGATCAGACATCATACTGGACTGGAACATGGACCGGAGTCAGTTTAAGCGATTGTTTAACCAACAATTTCTATTCTATTCTATTCTATTCTATTCTATTCTATTCTATTCTATTCTATTCTATATAGTTTTATATTGTATCATATCCTAAGGAAAACGTCTAAATATACAGAACAATTGACAAAATGTGTGACTTTAAAAAAAAATTAAAAAAAGTATTATAAAAGTATATATGACTAATAAAAAGTGTGACTTTATTTCAAACTACATTTTTAGTCTTTAAAGGTTATAATACCAACAGTGCTAATACTAATAGTAGTGCTTTTTAAGAGTTGTGTTCATATTTTGTGATTAAAAACTGATGATGAATAATGGAATTGACCGAATATTTTCTTATTTGTACGCTTATTTATATATTTCCAGCTTCAAGCTCGATTAGACAAATCAGTGTTATTTCAGTAGCTTATCTATTGTAGTTTTATTAATATTTTGAATTAATTAAAATTTTTATAGTTTCGGTTTGTATTTCAATTTTGTTTAAAGTTTTTGTGTTTTCGTTGTTAGTTTTTCTAAATATGTCAATAAAGTTATTATATATATATATATATATATATATATATATATATATATGTGTGTGTGTGTGTGTGTGTGTGTGTGTGTGTGTGTGTGTATCAGTCATAGTTTTAGTTATTTTAGTACATCAATTAAAACTAACTGAAAATTAGAAATATGCTTTGGAAACTACCTGAAAATGTTTAAGTTGTTTGTATTTTGTTTTATTTCAGTTAACGTTTATTTTATTTCAAATAACGAAAATTCTTACTTTTTTCTTAATTTATTTATATATTTATATTATTATTGTTAACTGTTTAAAATGAAGTACAATAACCGTTCCTCAGCTTCCCACAGAGTGCTCGCGTTTGGTGTGTTTTGAACTTTTCGACGCGCCGTAGGAAAAAGAAGGCGGGGTTTCAACGAGGTCACGGAAGCATCGAAGCAGTGAAGCATCACGGGAAAACACGTGTGGAGCTACGCGACATCGCACGAAAAGCCAGAAAAGGTCAGTATTGGCCTTTAAATAACAGTTCTAGTTGTTTTTGTAGTCCGTTTTGTTCCGAATTCTTGTCTCGTGTCCTGTGCTGGAAATAAACGGCATGCTCAATGTTTTAGTTTGTCATTACAGTCCTATACAATGGAACAAAATGTGTGCTGTGTAAATCACACACTGTAAACAAATAAATAGAAAACCAAAAAAAGAGCATCCATATAGCATATCGACAAGTATACATTATAAAATACAATGCTCAAATAAATGTACACCAACTAACTGCAGTAAACATTGTGACAACTTGCCCCACTCTACCCTATTTTTCCTTATTTATCCATTTGTTTTTGCTGTAACCTCACTTGTTAAAAAGAGTTGACTTAGTTTATTTCACTATAAAGAAAACACTCAAGAACCACATTATTATTTTGTGAAATATCTTTAAATGGATATACATTGACAGGTAGTTCATATAATTCTAGGCAACTGGTTTCACATGAACCAGAAGTGGACCTCTTTTGTGTGTTTCTCCACAGGTTAATACTTTCACTCGGCTCCTCCAAATAATCACCATGGCTTCCAAAAACACTGCGAGCGGCGACGACCGCTTCTCCAAGGTTAAGAAGGACCCTCGCTTCTGGGAGATGCCCAACAGAGAGCGCAAGGTCAAGATCGACGAGCGTTTCCAGTCCATGTTCCACGACCAGCGCTTTAAGCTGAAGTACACAGTGGATAAACGCGGACGACCCGTCAACCACACGACCACCGAGGACCTCAAGCGCTTCTACAAGCTCTCTGACTCCGAAGAGGAGGACGAGGAGACGGAAAACACAGAGAAAGCTGATGACGAACCTCAGGTTGAGGATGAAGATGAGAGTGATGAATCTGAAGAGGAGGAAGAAGCCGAGAAGCTCCTGAAGACACAAAAGGCGAAGAAAACCAAAGAGCCGTTGATAAAGGGAGTGAGAGTGTTTGAAGAAGGTACTGCTGATTTAATGAATTTATGCAAGTGTTTTTGTTTGTTTTGGATCAATTATAATGTCATTTTGATAAGTACTATGTTGATATATTCTTGAGGGGTGTTTCGTTTATGTTATTTATGGATTGAGACCACTTTTATTGGTTTTATCAGATGAAGATGAAGAAGGTGGTTCTTCTGAAGGTGAAGAGGATGAGGATGATGAGAGCGAGTCAGATGAAGATGACGAGGAAGGACCTGATCTGGCCAGAGGGAAGGGTAACATTGAGACCAGCTCTGATGAAGATGATGATGAGGAAGATGATTTGGCGGAAGAGGAGATTGAGCATGACTGGGGAGAGATGTGTAAAGATGCTCCACGTGGTGACAATGTGAGTTTTCATAACACGCTTTATTTATAATAATACACAGTACCGTTCACATTTTTTTCTCTTCTTTTCACCAGGGCTGCATTTATTTGATTAAAAACTGTGATTAATATTATTATAATTATAAATAATTGTTTTCTATTTGAATATATTTAAAATGTAATTTATTCCTGTTGAATTTCCAGCATAATTACTCCAGTCTTCAGTGTCACATGATCCTTCAGAAATCAGTATAATATGATATGATGCTCAAGAAACATTTATGTTTATTATCAATGTTGTGCTGCTTCATTTATGTGAAATTAAATGTCTTTTCAGTCTTTACTGTTCATTTTGATCAATTTATTGCATCCTTACTAATTAAAAGTATTAATATTTTTTAAAGAAACATACTTTGAATGTTAGTATATTTATTAAATGAAAATTATATTTAATATTTTTTGTGTTATATATAATATATGTAACATTAAAATTATATTAAAATTGATAATAAAAATAACAAAAATAAAAAATAACACATTTTCCTCAATAATTTTTTTTTTTAGAATAATGCAATTAAAATAATTAATTCTTTTAATTGCATTATTCTAAAAAGCATAATAATAATATTATTGGGGAAAATGTTATTATAATATAATGTTAATATTACATATATTATATATAACACAAAAAATATTAAATATAATTTTCATTTAATAAATATACTAACATTCAAAGTATGATATCAGTAAGATATTTCTTTAAAAAAATAATACTTTTATTTAGTAAGGATGCAATTAATTGATCAAAAGTGACATATATATGTAACATTTTTTTATTATGTAAACATTTTTATTATATAGGTATTATTATTTAGGTATTATAACATTTATAATATAAAAAATGCATTTATACATCATGTATCATGTTATTTCTGTGTTTAGACTTCGAGGCGGTTGGCAGTTTGTAACATTGACTGGGACAGACTGAAAGCTAAAGATCTGCTGGCTCTCTTTAATTCGTTTAAGCCCAAAGAAGGCGTAGTGCTGTCTGTAACGGTAACTGTCCCTTCTCTTCCTGCTCTGGCTCCTCCCACAATCCCTTGATCATTTCCGTTTGTGCGTGAGTCTGAATGGTTGTCATGCATTTGTCAGATCTACCCGTCTGAGTTTGGGAAGGAGAGGATGAGGGCAGAGCAGACCCAGGGTCCGCTGGAGCTCACCAGCCTCCCAGACGACCCCGACGCAGACACAGAGGAGCAAAGGTACCGCTCTTATTGGGGTTTACAGTACACTACAGAGAGCAGTAATGGAGGTCTATGGTCAACACCTCAACGAGCATGCACAGAGAAGTCCAAATTAAACATGATTTAATGACTCGTAAAGGTAAGTACACATTGATGGCCTAAGACACGAAACGAGCGGTTTGTGTGAGAAAACCAACAGTATTTATATTGTTTTTACCTCTTGTAATCACAGCCACATCCAAGTACTCTGAGGCAGAGGGCAAGAGGTAAAACTATATAAATACTGTTCATTTTCTCACACAAACCGCTCGTTTCGTGTCTTAGCCCATCAATGTGTACTTACATTTACGAGTCATTAAATCATGTTTAATTTGGACTTCTCTGTGCATGCTCTTTGAGGTGGTGACCATAGACCTCCATTATATGACTGATAGACAAACGGTTTGACCTAAAAATATAAAAATTGAAACTACTACGGAAACAAAGACACCTACATCTTGGATGCCCTTGAGGTAAGCTAAAAACATACCAAAAATTAATTTCAAAGTGAACTATCTTGAAATGAATACATTAATCATGTGACACTGTAGACTGGAGTAATGATGCTGAAAATTCAGCTTTGATCACTGGAATAAACAACAATTTACAACATATTCACATAGAAAAGTTATAATATTTCACGATATTACTGTATTTTTAACTGTTTTGAGTATAAGACAGTTGAATGGCAGTGTATATCACTGTAGTTTTGATAATATTTCATCATGTCTTCTGAATGGTTTTTATGGACAGTATTATATTTTTCCATTAAGAGGAACCCTCATTTGAACCATTTCAGCTCAGTGTTTTACGATAAAGGTCTTCCGTGTGTTTTTTCAGGATCTGCCGGGAGAAAGTGCGTGACTATCAGTTCAAGCGTCTGAGGTATTACTACGCCGTGGTGGAGTGTGAGTCCGTGGAAACGGCGGTGAAGATTTACGAGGAGTGTGACGGCCTCGAGTACGAGAGCAGCTGCTCCATGATCGACCTGCGGTGAGACACTCGATCAAAACCTCGGAGTTTAAAACTCAGACCATCAAGAATGCAAATCTGATTACATTTCCAAGAACTTAGCACTTGTTAAATCCATTATCCAGTTGTCATTGGTTCATGTTGGTGTCATTTTCCAGGTTCATCCCTGATGACGAGACATTTGACGATGAGCCGAAGGACAGAGCGACCGATGTGGATTACGGTTCCTACAAGCCCAAGCTCTTCACGTCGGCGGCCACCACCACAGCCAAGGTCTGTCACACTGAACACCACACGAGATCCGAGCGCCTGAACTCGGTGTGCTGTAACGTCTGCTGTGCGTCATCAGGTCGAGCTGACGTGGGATGAAACGGATCACGACCGGGTCACTGCTCTCTGCCGGAAGTTCAACAAGGACGAGCTGTTGGACATGGACTTTAAGGCTTACCTGGCCTCCTCCAGTGAGGAAGAGGAGGAGGAGGAGAAACAGACGGAAGGTTAGCGAGGACTAAATCTCATCTGTCATATGGAAAAGAGTCCTGTTAAACGTCTCCTTGTAAGTCTTTGAAATGTTCTGTCTTCTTGAATGTTCAGCTGAGGAGCCGGCTCAGCCTCTTCCTGAGGAGAAGAAGGCCAGTAAGGGGAAGAAGAGCGCAGAGCAGATCGCCAAATACAGAGATCTACTGAAGAGCATTCAGGACAAAGAGAAGGGGAATGATGACGCCATGGACATGGAGATCACATGGGTACCAGGTATCAGATGCTCTCCTCCTCACCGAAAAAGTTGATTTAGTGTTATGCTTTTTAACATTACATTTGTTACATTATTTTACACCTATTAATATTATATTATTAATATTATAATAAATATGCTTTATTTAATAAAATGAAAAATATATATAAAAATTATTTTTTAATGATTGCAGAAAACAATTTTTCTATGTATTACTGTTCAATTATATATAAGCATAGTATTATATACAAGTATTTTGTTTTACGTTTAATACAATTATATATTATTATAGTATTAATTATATATATATCATTGTTTATAATTATATTACTTATAATATATATTTTAAGTAAATATAATAAATATGGACATGAATGTGTGAATAAAATATATAATGTAAAATGAACATAATGTATACATTTATAAAAATGCTTTATGACTAAGCATTTTTATGTTTTTAATTGTATATATAAATATATATAAATGTATATATATAAATGTGTGTATATATATATACTATAAAAAAATATATATATATATTTATTTTATAGTATTAATTATATATATTATAATTGTTTATAATTATATTATTATATAATATATATATTAAAAAAATTATATATATATATATATATATATTATATATAAAAAAATACATATATAAATACATATATTAATATATAAATACATATATAAATACATATATTTTTTAAACTGTCAAACGATTAATCGCATCCAAAATAAAAGTTTGTGTTTACATAATATATGTGGGTGCATTGTGTATATATATATATATATATATATTAACACACACACATGCATTTATATATTTAAGAAATATTTTAATGTATATACTGTATATAAATTTATTATATATAAATATTTTTTTTCTTAAATATACATGCATGTGTGTGTATTTATATACAAAATAATTATACACAGTGCATCCACATATATTATGTAAACACAAACTTTTATTTTGGATGCGATTAATCGCGATTAATAATTTGACAGCCCTAATATATTTTAAAGTAAATATAAACTATTTAAAAATATATATATACTGTATATATTTTATATGTTAATGTTCATGTTATTTGATTGTTTTTAGGACTGAAAGAAACAACCGAGAAGCTTGTGAAGAAGAAAATGTTGGGCAAAGATGTGCTTTCTCCGTGGGAGGAATACCTGCAGAAGAAAAAGGAGAAAAAGAAAGAGAAGAGGAAAGGAAAGAAGGTAAACGTGTTGCTGAGAAATAATCCTTCCTTTTGCCCTTCATTTCTGGGCCTCTGACTCACTCTCACACCGTCTTTCTAATGCAGGACGCGCTGGAGGCGGAGCCTGGGATCAGTGATGATGAACTTCCTGCTGATGTTGACCTCAACGACCCCTTCTTCAGAGAGGAGCTCGGCGCGACAGGTTAGCCTGCGCTTTATTCCCCTCACACTTCAACACTTTCAACGTGAGGGAGATTAAACGATGAGGTCACTTCTATTGCAGTGTCCCTGGAAAACAAAAAGAACAAGAAGAGCAGGAAGAAGGATGAGGAAAGGACGCCCGAAGAACGGGAAGAGCTGGAGAGACGGAGGGTACGTTTCTGTCACGACGTGTGTTTCTGGGTGATGTGTCATGATTAACAACTGTGTCGTGATCTTCAGGCTGAGATGGAGCTGCTGATGGCTGACGACGAAGATGACAAGCACAAACATTTCAACTACGACAAGATCGTAGAGCACCAGAACCTGAGCAAGAAGAAGAGGAAGAAGCTCCTGAAGAGCGACACGCCACTGGAGGACGACGACTTCAAGGTCAATTTCAGTCTTTTAGATTTTCAGGAGAGATTTGTGGATGTGTGTGACGTGTGTTTTGAATCGATTCTCTGAACTGATTCTGTCAAATGAATCAAACTAACTCTGCCATGGTTCTCCAGGTGGACGTTCACGACCCGCGCTTCCAGTCTATGTTCACGTCCCATCTTTACAACCTGGACCCGTCCGACCCGGCCTACAAGAAGACCAAAGCAACGCAGAGCATCTTAGAGGAGAAACTGCGGCGCAGAGAGGAGGAGCTCCAGAGTCAGGAGGAGACGTTGAAGAGCAGAGCCACACGGGAGAAGACCACAGCAGAGACTTCGTCCTCCTCTAAAGTCATGGACCCCAGTTTATCACTGCTCGTCAAATCCATCAAGAGCAAAACTCAACAGTTTCAAGAGCGTAAGAGACAAAAGACAAAGTAGACTGAGAACCAGAGTGATGTAAAGCTGTTTGATAATAAACTTCATATTTGGTTTGCAATATGATTAGTGCTGCTATAAAATCATCTCCTAGTTCAAAATCATTAAAACATCATATAGTTTACTCGTCTCTTACCCCCTAAAAAGTAACTAATTGAGTTACTTAGTTACTTTTTATTAATGTTTTTTGCTGCCTGTTTGAACAAAGGCAAAAAATACGTCAGAGTGACACTTTTACTGAAAGACGAGACAGTTAAAACTGGAGTTAAAGTTAGCTTTATTCGTTATGACACAAAACGCTTCCCACACATTCAAATAAGTCTGTTGGCACTTTCACAGGCACCTTATTTTCAATATAACAGAAGTAACAGGCTTGTCTCGTGTGCAGTATAAAGTCTAAGCTGTGAGTGAATGAATGAATGAATGAAAACCTCTTATCACACTTATATTTCCAGGGAACGTGACCAGTGTTCAGAGCATGTAAAAACATCTGAATACATGGTCCAGGAATATAAAGTGTACACGTAAGAACGGCTTGGGACCATTAAACCCAATCCAGAAAAGGCACAAATTGCAGATTTTAAGTTTGATTTGACCAAATAATGTGAAACTCCAGTCTGGATCACATTGGAGCATTTCAAGAGAGAAACCAGACAGAATGAAATGATTATAGATTGTGCCCGTGTTAAACAATAACTACTTGATGAGATATAGTGCAATTAAAGTTTGACATCTACATGTACGTCATCTGAAAGAGCTTGAGGGGAGTTTAGTGTTTCAGGTTGGGTTTTTGTTTCTTCCCATTTTATGGCAAAAATTGTTCGGAAAAGTGTCAAAACACCTCGAGTTGTGCACTAAAGTTTAATACTTTAATAAAATCAGTTGTCTTAACCGGCCCCACTATATCTATCTCCTAGTCTTTTGGTAAAACCCCTTTTAACTTCATGCCACTAACATACAATATTGTGTTGCACCAAAATCCTATAAAATATAGGATCACATGAATATTAACGTAGAGAAAATAAGCTCTTAGCGAAACGCTTCAGGACAAATTGTGCTTCACGCGTCGAGTAAAAAAATTAGACAAATACTTTAGAGTTCAGTAAAATACAGTTTCATTACGATACAACGCACAAAGTGATACAAATATGATTTTATAGAATAAATCAAGCGTGTGACTTCGCAAATAGATATTAAATTATCTTTCTCACAAAGAATCACAACACGTCTGCTGTTAGTCAGAGCAGACGGTAAACAACGGAATGATGATTCAGCTTAAACGCTGCCAGTCACGAGATAATCAATCACGTGACCTGTAAACCCAAAGGAGAACCCGTGTCTTCATGAGGATTTACGTGATCTAGAATCTAGATGTTATTTGTGTTTAACTGTTAAGATTTACATGTATTTTTTTTTAGCAGAGTCGTTCTTACTGAAGTCATTTTCAACATGAATGCTTTGAGACAAAGATCTATGATCTATCCAGCTAAATCCGTGGATTCGTCAAATGACAATATTATCAAACGATCTTCGTTCACACGGATACGGTAAAACGACTAAAAACGCAGCTTCGTTTCAGTAAACTGACCACTACATTCCAAAGTCAGAAAGAAATTACAACAATTTACACTTCACTAGGAATAACGGTCATTTTAATAATGGTTACCTGTCTAAAATAAGACATCCTTTAATGCTAAACTTGCACTTTGAGGGTACGTTTACACGACCGCGCGATGTACTAAAAACGGAAAGGTTTTTTCTTTGCACAGATGACCACGCTGTATTCTGCTGCCAGGCCAGTAGATGGCGATGTTACTCTGTAAAGTAACACTACGTGCCTATCGACTGAACGCATAAAGCACACCCTGATAGCACACGTACATCACAGAGACGTCTATTTGATGTGTGTTTACATCTTGAAGACATATTTTTTTAGAGTGTTTGCTCATATGCAATACGTCTATTTCCTGTCAGATGTCAAATAGACGTTTAGAAGATGTTTTTTAGATGTAATGATTTAGAATGCATGTTAAACTGACATCTTTTAAACGTCTATTTGACATCTGACAGGAAACGTCCTATAGACGTATTGCAGATGAGCAAACACTCTTAAAAATACGTCTTCCAGATGTAAAAATCACATCAAATAGACTTGTGCTATCTGGGTAGAGTATTTGCTCATCTGCATTACGTCTATAGGACGTATCCTGTCAGATAGACGTTTAGAAGACGTCTTTAAGATGTAATGATTCAGAATGTGTGTTAAAATCAGATGTTAGTAAACGGCAGATGCTTTCCAGATGAAGTGATCTTTAACAGACATCTTGACGACGTACGAGTGCTATCTGGGCACGTACATCACAGAGACGTTCGCTTGATGTGTGTGTTTACATCTGGAAAAAGTATTTTTTAGAGTGTTTGCTCATCTGCAATACATCTATAGTACGTTTCTTGTCACATGTCACATAGATGTTTACAAGATGTCAGTTTAACATGCATTCTAATTCATTACATCTTCTAAACGTCTATTTGACATCTGACAGGAAACGTGACAGCAAACACTCATCTATACGTCTTCAAAAAAAAAAAAAAAACGTCTTCCAAATGTAAACATCACATCAAATAGACTTGTGCTATCTGGGTAGGAAGTTTCCTGTCAAATAGACGTTTAGAAGATGTCTTTAAGATGTAATGATTTAGAATGTATGCTAAACTGACATCTCAAAGATGTCTATCAGATGTTAGTAAGCGGCAGATGCTTTCCAGGTGAAGTGATCTTTAACAGACATCTTGCAGACGTACGCGTGGTATCTGGTGTTGTGTAAACGGCCCCTAAATCACGGCTCTTAGCAAAATACGTCACACAAAAATGAAAATTAAGTCATTATCTCAAGCTCATGTCATCTTTTTGACTTGTGCAACATTTCCCAAGTGATCTGAAATTGTATGATGGCTTTCACTATTAATTGAAAATCATTCCCTACAATTTAATTTGCATATGCATATTTAAACTTGCCATCATATTTACTTGCAAAACCAATTGCCTTCAACAACGTCAAACATTGCAAGACACGTCTTGACACCAAATTTGCGAGATTGGAAACTAGATTTGAGAGCCTCAACTGACCAAGAAAAATAAACTGTTCAAAAGTTTGAGTTCAGTAATGCAGACGTTCACATTTCGAAGGACATGAGGGTGAGTAAATGACTGAATTTTCTTTTTCGGGTGCACTAATACTTATCATATAAAGTCTATAAGGATTGTCTGGAATCAAATTCTTTTTGCAGCCTTTGTGCAAAATCTGAGCAGCACTTTAAAAAAACAAAAACACTTTGCTTTCTGATTAATCAGTTGTGAACGGGACGCTCTCTCAAGCATAAAATATGAGTTCAGGTATCTGCCCCCCTTGCACACCTGTCCCGTTGGTGCTGTCTGAGGAGCACTGGAACTGGAAGGTCACCTTCCCGCACTGGACCTCCGTCATTCCCTCCTGGCCGAAGTAACTCAGCTCGTTCCCGTCCAGAACCACGCTGGCCGTGTAAAACGTGTCGGGTTCGATCTGCACCGGGTACTCGAAGAACACGGGGAAGGTGTTGCTGGAGCCGTCGGAGAAGTATTTGATGATGGCGACGCCGAGCGTCACGCCTTGGCGCTTCAGCTCGATCTTGGCCTGGTACTCGGCCGAACCGCAGCTGGAGCCGTACAACCCGAACCCGGCGATGAAGACGCGCTTGTCCACGGCGAACTGGATGCTGTCGCAGCGCCCGCGGTACCGCCACTGGTTGCTACGGTACGCGCACGACTGAAAGCGGTGGCACTTCTGCGGCGTCAAGCCTTTCCGTGGTTTGCAGACGAACTTCAGCTCTGGTTTCTTGGCCGCCGTGTACCACAGGAAAATATCATTGGTCTCGGTGAGCGTCAACACGCCCGACTGCGCAACGCCGTTAGCGAAATCATCGAGCGCCATCGCCGGGATCCGTATCAGATAGATAGACTTTCCCAAAACAAGCCGTTTGTTCTCGATGGTGGGCTGGAGCTCCTGTCGTTGACACTCGGCCTCCGCCCAGCTCAACGCCGCGTCGAACACCACCATCTCCTTTGCGTTGAGCGTCTCACGCCGAAGGATGCTCTCTAAAGTCTGAGTGTCGATGTCGCAGAATCCCTCGGAGCGGAGGGCGAGTTCGGCCTGCGCGTCGATGACCTCCCAGCAGCGCTGAGTGAGGTCGGGCTCCTCGAAAAGGCAGCTCTGAGACAGCAGGACGCAGGCGTTTCGAGCGCTCAGGCTGGTCTCCAGGAAGTTGACGCAAGCGCGGGCCAAGTGGGGAACGATGTATTTTTTGGCAGCGTACAGTGTGGCGAGGACGGTGTCTGCACACAGGTCGATCTCGTCACAGTAGATATACCTGACAACAGACAGCAAAATTATTATCCTACTTCATGCTGAATGACATTCTGAAATTCATGTTAATTCACTATAAATGTTATGCTAATGTAAATATAATTTGTAATGCCATATTAGATTTATAAATAAATATATGTAGTTATTGCAAAATTATATTATACATTTTATACATATATATATATATATTTTTTTTTTTTCTCCATTTAGGACCCTATTATATATCTTTACCCTTAAAGACACCGTAACATTACATGTTAACATTTTTGTAGGAAATATTTATATTTATGAGTTTTTGTAATAAAATAAGAGAAATAAAAAAGTTCAATTTATTTTATTTGGAAGGTCAATAATTAAATTAATAAATAATTTTCAATAAAAATAAAAATATATAAATATTCACTATTGGTTTCAGACTATCTTCATCTTCAAAAACCCATTTTTCTTTTTGTAATGGAAAAAAGTATAGTATTATACCTATATTATTTATTCCATTAAAAATATATACAAAAATGTAAAATGTTATAGTTTAATACAATTTAAATATATAAATATTCACTAGTGGTCTCCATAGTATATTTTTCTCTTTAAAGACTTTCAAATATATTTATTTGATTAATTTTTTTTATATAATTAATTTTTATTTAAAATTATACAATATATAAGAAAAATAAATTCTCGAGTGTTTTCTTTAAAACCCCATGACATCAAAATTTAAGTTTTGCGTCTTTTAATTGATGTTTATTAGCTTTGTGGCTATGTACAGTATATGCTAGAGACTGAAAGTCATACTTTAGCATGGCAAGGAAAGAAGGTGGCTCCACATCAGGGATCCGGATCTCATCCTTATCTTCGGCCAGTTCTCCGTAGAACATGGCGTGAAATACCGAACTGCCCACAGCCAGGACATACTGAAAGAGAGAGAGAAAATGGATGCAAATAGAGATTTTGAGCATCACTCATTTTCAATTTTACTTATTCCTGCATTTGCTATTAGTGAATCTCATGAAGCTTATTACCAACATGTCCCTGTCCAAAAATAAAAATGTGTGCTGTCACTTTAAGATGGATCCATTATACTGTTACATATAAGTTCTTTCTCAATTGTTTGTGTTCACTTAACTTAACTGACTGTGTTACGTGAATACTCACCAAGACCGGCATTTTGACATTATTTTGTGTGTATTTGATTGTTTTAGCGCAATAAGCAGCTAATAATAACTAAAATTAGTACTGAAAGACAGCTTTATGTGCCTCACTTTGGGTGAGAGCAAAAAAATCTGCAGGAATGAGTAAAATTATGCACAATCCCATGCTGAAATTCAAGCCTTGTAACACCATCAATATTCATCCAGAGCAAATGAGATGAGTGAGTGAAGAGATGCGGGTTTTGTGTGTGATTGCTGTCGGAGAGATTACAGAGCGATGATTCACCACTCTGCAACCAACTGGAGTGATAGGACGCACATATTTTTGTTGCATGGCTGAACGGTGGTAATCCTGTACCTTGTGTCCCGGTACTCTCTGGGTTCCTCCAGGAGGCCCCACCACGAAATGAATATCGGCCATCAGCTCGTTGTTGAACATGACTGAGTTTCTGCACGGGACAAATGAATAATGAAAAGACCCTTTAGCCATCGGTGCAACATCACATGCTGTCTAGGGTAGGCAGTGGAAGAGAAAGAGTGAATTACCTCTCTCTGATCGTGGGATACAAGCCTTGCCAGTTACATCCCTGAATGGTGTTGTTGTTGCTGACGTTCTGCTGATGGTACTGTTGGACAGCGTTGGCTGTGACCGCAGGCAGTTTTTTGGCAGGAAACAGCTCAGCGGCCATTTTACCAACACGTCAATTAATCAGGAGGATTTCATGGTGGAGGATCTGGCAACCTGGAAACGATTAGAACATATTAATAGAGAATTAATATACCATAACATGATGTTTTACTATAACATAATTTATGTTATTAATACAACTTATAAAAATACTTGCAATCTAATATTATTTCTTGACATTTACTTCTCTCATGTACAGGCTATGACTGTAGCAACCAATTTCATTATTGACAATTGTCATTATCTCATTGCTAGACTCACATAAACACAGTTAGCAATCACAGCTAAAGCTGCGATAATCATCCAAATACACACAGAACAGCAGTAAACATTATTAAACGAGGGTTTCAATGATCCAGAAGCACATGCATTTAGTAAAATACTTTGATATCGTTCAGTCACAGATGCTGATCTGAATTCAGATGCAAGCAACATGAAATAAACAAAAACAGCTACCGGGCTCACAAACAAACCTAAAAAAAACCCACACAAAACATCAAACTAAAACACCATCACGAAATGATAACGCTCTTCAAACAATAACAGTTCAATAGTGTAATTACCAGAGGCTTATTAATGCCGCAGGTTTCGTGAGAGTGAAGAAAGTTTGCAGCTGGTTTGCACATCAACATCCTCCATGATCGGAGGATCCGCCTGACGGACTGCGCATGCGCCAATTTCGCCAAATAAAAGAGCAAGAAGTAGTAAATACTAACTTGGCGTTATCAGTAGGTACAACAAACTTTTCATGCTTTATTCTTTTATTCATACATTTATTCGGTTATTAATTCATTTTTGACCATTCAAGAATAATTTGAATATTTTATTGGAGGTACGTTAATATTTAGAGACTAAAAGTGGTGGTTGCTAAAAAATTGGTTCCCACACACTAAAAATATTTGCAATATTGTAAGCAAAATTGCTTCCCAATTCGGTTTGGTTTACTTACCAAAGAATAAAATTTAGAAAATAAAATATGATTTTGTATTGCTGCTGATAGAGCGAATGAAGTCCAGCAGGTGGCACTCGATGCAAGGTCTTAGAATATTTGATAACCTTTATTTTATTTATATATTTATAATTTCCTCGTTTTAATGACGTCTGTGTTATAATGACGTCTGTCCTCGTTATAATGACGTTTGTGTTATAATGGCGTATGTCCTCTATATGTCCAAATTGAGGTATACATTTTTTTTGTTTGTTTGTTTTATTTCATTGTATTATATTTTATGGTATATATATATATATATATATATATATATATATTTGTCATATTATAATTACTCTATTTTAATGTATTAAATTTAATTGTTGATGAAGAAAATCAAGCTGAAAATACATTATATATAAATATATATATGTCCTCAGTTGGTCTTCTTACATCGATGTAAGAGTTTTGATATTTGTAGCAATTTTTTTTTTTTTTACAGTTTGCCAACTGTAACGAGGGAATTAATGGATAATTCTAACACAAGAATTAAGCTAGCTCATATAGAATGGGCAAGGCTTTCTAATAATGTTTTTAAAGTACAGTTGCAAATAATTGTAAACTTGCATGTTTGAATCTAGACTCTCTTGCCATCATTTACAAAAAAAGGTTATTGGATTTTTGCACCTTTATTTAGCCTACACAGAGACATCTATCCTAACCATCCTCAACCTTAAACAGAGGTCAGGTCGCGAAAACTCGCAGACCGCAAAGAATCTCTCTTATTAGCGATAAAATAACAAATATTCAGACGCATTAGTATTACTGGAATCCCACGGCCAGCAAACCTCTGACTGAACATTGACCCTGAAAAGCAGCTTGACTAGAGCTTAACAGCAAAAACAGTCACAGGAATGCAACGCTGCCCTTGTTGCACTGATGCAAAGGCTTTACGTAATGATTTACTAATTACACTATAGAGGCCTCGACCGCGGGGGATGCTGGGTAACGGGTCTCTCGGTTAGACACCGGCAGGCACCGACCTAATGGAAGGGGTCCGTAAACAAGCACTTTTATTGTCTGGACAATGATTTGTATCTCTCAGACCTATTCTATGCCATTTAAAAGCTATTTAGAGGGTTTTAAACACAGGAAATGACCATTGTTTGCCCATCTACAGTAGTTGTGGTCGGGTTGAATGCAAAATTGTTCGCGTGGAGTCTTGCTCTGTTTACTCTTTCATAAATCCATTTGAAGACAAAACTTTTTGTTCTCCATAAAGTCTGAAATTAAGCTTCTGTGGTAAAGCTTGTAAAATGTCATACTGAAATATCAGTTTATTAAAATATCACTTTGCTTTTATAGGATGGGAATGGTTGATTTGGCTATTGCAGACACTGAAACATTATGCAAACCAGAATGGGAAGTATTTGGACACCACACTTGCCTGTATTTCATTTGCAAACAGATGCTACAGTTTCTCAGAACTTATTTTACTTTTCAGACATAATTTTTGGTGAATCTGAAGTCAGTTCATACAGGTTACCAATCAGCAACCTTAAACTATAAACATTTTCCCATTAATATTTTACCAAATATTTCTGTAACATCTTGATTTTCATAACAGTATACCTAGTTAACAGGAAATGTTCTTAGAACTTTGTCGAATGTTCTGGCATTAAGGTTCTCTCAATGTGATGAACTGACTAGCCCAGATAAACAAATTACAAATCCTCTAAGTCCCGCCTTCTAAATAAAAAAGAGCCAATCGCCGATCGGTAAAGTCATTGCGTCACTGCAGCTGCCTCTCTGGTTCGTGCCGTGCGTTTAGAACTGCGCATGCGCATTAGCTTGGTCCATCCTGAAAAAAAAAATGTTTTTTTCGAGCGTTTAGAAACAAAATATATGAGACAGTTGTTGTCAGATTTGATTGGGGATTTAATATATGAAATTTAATCGTAAGCTTGGTGAATAGTTTGGAAGAATTCGATGTTTTCCCATTTCAAAGATGGCCGCCGACTCCGCCGAGTGAAATGTCTTTGACTCTAGGTACGTTAATAGAATGTTCATTGAAAGTTATTTGGTCAACGCTAATGTTCTCAAAACATTAGCACAAATATGCACACAAAGCCACATCTTTGCAAAAACCTTTGTGTTCCCTCACAAAATGCCCCCTGAGAAACTGCATTCGCTCTTGTGATCGAACGCAAAACATTTTGTGAGAGAATGCAAAAACATTGACAAAATTTTCCTCCAATCTCCTATTTTTTTCCTTCACCATGTCCCTTTAGGGGCTCCAAATGAATCAATTAGTAACTTTTTTAAATGTTCCATTAAGAATGTATAAATAATGTTTTAAATATAACATAATATCTGCAAAACCTCAAATATCTGTACAGACATTTTATAATTTTTGATGAATGTCAGCTGCTAATAAAATCCGATGTTCTCTTTTTCCTCTGTATAGTGAGCGGCGCTGATTTATGCCTCAAGTGTATCGTGGGATATCATCAGAGTCTCTGAACACGGGGTTGGTAAGACTTTTCCTACTCACATTGCTTTGACCCTTATCATTTCAGCCCACAATGTAAGAAATATTTCATTGCCATATATATATATATATATGTATATATATATATATATATATATATATATATATATATAGGCTATACAGAGTGATGTCCAGAGTGGATGTTGGTTTCTAACGACCCTACAAGTTTGATTAAACTATCAAAATATGAAGAAAATATTTAATATTTTTAAATAGTTTAAATATGAGGGAAGAACAAAACACTAAACTTGGTTCTGACAAAATTATTTGGCAAAAACTATGTTTTTGTATGTGTTCATATTCAAAATTTCTTTGTATATGCCATGCAGTCTGGCCAAAACATCTGCATAAATCTGCATGTTTGCATTATGCCAATTAAAACAACTGACTCCAAGCACAACTGCACAATATGCTTACAAAATCTGAAACACATTTTTAATAATATATTAAAATACATGGATATCACTTTAAGCCACTACTGTATAGGTGTTGAGCATATTACATATATTTGACCATTGAAAAGTGTGCACTTGCTTCTTTTTTAAAAAAAATCTCAGCCCTACTTCTCTTTCCCTGAGAGTCCTGTCATGGTGTCACATTTTATGGTTGTTTTGATGGCGCATGCATTCAAGCCCAAACCCCCCAAGATCCTTTTCAGATCCTCGAGTGAGCAGATTGGCCAAAGTCAATTAGAAGTCTATTACAATGAAATGCTGTTTATGGAGATAAAGGATGAATTAGCCGTACTAACTCTCTTCATTCACAGCCTCTCTCTTTCTCTTTTTCTGTCAAGTGGCATTCACTGAATTGAATAATACGTCTCATGCCTGGGAACTGCTGCGTTTGGACTGAACACATGGTGTGATAATAGGGGGCACTGTATTCATAGGCTGGTCAGTTCCTGCCCCTCGTATTGTGCGCTGGCTTTCTCAGGGATCAGTGTGTGTGTGTGTGTTGTGGAGAAGTAACAGTGTTTCGTGAAGCGTATTGTAGTATTTCTTAGCGAGGGCTCTTATTGTTCATTCTGGATGCGAGTGTGAGGAACAGACGGCTGGGCTGCACATCCCAGGTGCATTTTGGGATCCTGTGTATCTTGATTCAACCCCTCCTTTCACACATCACCCATTGTCATGATCTCAAGCGGTGTGTGTGTATCTCATAGACAGTCGAGAGCCAGAGCATATCCGACAGAGTTCTGGTCCAAAAAATTCATGCATCTGATCTCAAACCAGGAGCAAGTGACGTCAGAATATTTAACACATAAAAGACTTTAATATTGTTTTGTAGGCTATTATAATATAATATAGCCTATATTTTTATGTGTAGCATACAATTAATTTTAATGTCTTTAGATCAATTTGTATTTCTTTTTATTATTTTAATTTCTTGTTTATCTTTTATTATTAATAATTTTAATCATTTATATATATCGATACCGATATATCGGCCGATATTATTTATGTGTATATTATATTACAGTAGCAATATTATGTATGTGTATTATAGTACAGTACCAGTCAAAAGTTTGGACACACTTTCCTGTTGGTGTGTACAAACTTTCGATGGGTTGGCACGTCGTGAACTGCAACTCGTCTCATAAATGAACCGAAACTCAGTGTATAGACCCTATAGAAATATATCTATATTGAAATGTCTATTTTTAAACAGAACAATTCAAAACAAAAGACAGACTTCTTTATGCTGTAATCCGTATGAAATGTGCATTTCTCTGAAGATCGCGAGTCAGTGTCGTCAACTTTGCAGCGACACTGACTGAAAACACTTGTTTATTAATAAACAATTCAAATGTGTCTTTGCTTTATTGGATGTATTCACAATCATTACTTTTGCCAGTTCTTTGTGACGGCTTTTATGTGTTTTATTGGCATCGCCACCCTTACATCGCGCCTGCATTTAAAAAAATATATTAATTTATCGCCATTATAAATGTTAGTTAGGAAAATACCTAATATCGGCAGATAATATCGGCCCGCCGATATATCGGTTGGGCTCTAATTACTATTAGTATATTATCTTCGTTTTATTTTTTATAAATTATTTATTAATATTGTTTTTTTTAGCCCTCTATCTGCCTGGTCTTATATCTTGTTGCCTCTATTTGGGTTAAAAAAAACCAGCATGTTCTTTTTCATGTACTTTTATTTTTTAT